TCCACCAGTAAATGACATTTACCTACTTTTAAGGTCACATGGATCAAAAGTGGAAAAGTCTTTTAAACAAACTCTTCCTAATAAGGAAGAGTGCCGGGGAGATGACAGTTGACCAATGGCATGTCTTGCTAGAGTCAAACAGTTTCATCAGAGAATTTTCAAGTGACCTTGACTTACTTTCAACAGAAAAATCTTTAATCTTAAAATTTTTCCTTCAGCACAGATAAGGTAGTCTCAATCAATTAGTCAGTCAGGAACACACTTAAGCTTAATTGCAAAATTACTTTGATTAACAAATTTGTTCTGTGATTGCTTAAACATCCAGGAGAGCGATACAGACCCACTAGGCCTCTTGTTTGACTTACTGAATTGTTGGAGCGATACAGACCCTCTAGGCCTCTTGTTTGACTTACTGAATTGTTGGAGCGATACAGACCCACTAAGGCCTCTTGTTTGACTTACTGAATTGTTAGAGCGATACAGACCCTCTAGGCCTCTTGTTTGACTTACTGAATTGTTAGAGCGATACAGACCGACTAGGCCTCTTGTTTGACTTACTGAATTGTTAGAGCGATACAGACCGACTAGGTCTCTTGTTTGACTTACTGAATTGTTAGAGCGATACAGACCCTCTAGGCCTGTTGTTTGACTTACTGAATTGTTAGAGCGATACAGACCCACTAGGCCTCTAGTTTGACTTACTGAATTGTTAGAGCGATACAGACCCACTAGGCCTCTTGTTTGACTTACTGAATTGTTAGAGCTGGATATATACCCTTGAATTACACGCTAAGGTAATGATAAATACATGTTTGACAAGATTTTATCAGGAAGACAGACGATATCTCTGTTGGTGCAATCACATGTGGGTGTCTTATGTTGATGTATAAATGTTTTTATTTTCATAAATCAAAAAGCAAACTAAGGATGTAAAAAAACACCTTTATTAACACTGAGGATAACAACAGATTACAAAAATACTTAAAATATTGAATAACGTCTAGGAATAATCATAATGAGTTAACGAGTTTTATCACAGATTTCACTACATTAATACATGTAGAACTTTCTCAACAGAGACCAGATACATTAATATAAACATCATGTACAATTCCTTTAGTTAATATTGATGTGTATAGCCTCAGTCGCTTGTATATGTGCAATAATATCAATTCAAACAATGAAGATTTTATTTATAAAAGAATATAACATTATTTGGTCCGTTAGATTTGGCATTATCATTAAACCTGACTACAATGAAAGCATAACACAATACTTAAGGATCCTCGTACCATTGCAAAAATTTGTAACTAGAAATTTCGGACATTTTTACTGGCATTTGAAAAGTTTTAATTTTTATAACAAAACATTGAAAATGAGATTAAAAACTAGAAAATGTCTGTAAGACATAAATGCCCCGCTCATGGACGGAACGGGATGCAACGGACATAGGCAACACTATATGCACCCCCCATTTTATGGCGGGGGCATAAAAATATCAAGAATAATGAAGGTAAAATTTTACAATTCCAAACTTGGATTTGAACTCTGTACCAGCAATAACAGAAGTAATAGATCTCTTATCATCCCCTTTACATAGAGAATAATACATGCCTTTTTCCATATCACACCCAGTACAGTATCAACCCGAGACTGCAATATCAGCCCAAGGGCCGAAGGCCCGAGGGCTGATATTGGTCGAGGGCGTGTTTTATTTTGTTTATTACATACTTACTAATAAAAACTACTATCTTATGAGTAAGAATGTAATAAAGTTGCTTACAGTTCTTTATCAATGTCGTTATGGACAACTCGTACACATTTTACACCTTTGTGTGCATACGCTTCACTGGTCATTTGTCTGATGGAGGGGACAGTGTACATATCGTACTAGTCATCGAAACGTCCCATAGAAAATTGTATTGGTTGTGTAAAAAGAACTTCTCATAATCTACTTATACTTTTATGAAAGTTTGATGGTCCATAGATTTGAAGTGTAAATATGCATTTACAAGAACATTTAATAGGGATACTCCCATTGTTTTCCTCCACACATTTATTCCGTGCCCTTAATATTACAATGCAGAAAGTATAACTTATGTATGGTAACCAATAGACATAGCTTTGCAAATAGAGCTTAAATACAACTTATGCCAAAATTAACCATTAAACCGTATTTTCACGACTGTTTCAATTACCAAATTCAAAACATATGGAGAAAATGGGGGAAAACTGAGAATATTAGCCGTGGAGAAATTGGACTAAGGTAAATTTACAAAATCAGAATACGGATTAATGAAACATGTCGATGCATATATATAGGTGTTTACAAATACCAAACATAATTATTTTACAGCATAAAAAGGATCACCTGACAATGTAGGAACATATACCTTGTAATGAACTAGTTAAATAAAACATTTAATTATGAACTACCGTATTTGCTGCAATTACCGCCCCTACCCCCTTTTACAGGAAGAATAGAAACTATATAAACCAACTCCTCATCCCATTCCAGACCTGGCCAGGCCCAGTCAATGGTTTGGTTTGGTTGAATTTTGTTTAATGTCCTATTAACAGCTAAGGTCATTTAAGGACGTGTCTCCATGCGTGGTTGCGTGTGTGTATACAGGAGTCGGGGCATGTTGGTGTGCTTGCCTCCTTGTGATAGCGCGGATCTGATGCCGACTTTATAGTGCTATCTCACTAAAATGCCATGCCGAAGGCACCAAGCACAGCATTATGTAAGGTACTCACACTTTTATAGAGATTTACGTCTTGTGATCATAGCTGTACTTCCCGGATTAAACAGTTGATATCTAGACCTCCAGCCACACGGAAATATCTATAATGTCCTTTTGTTATACTGTAGCAACAGTTGGAAGTTACACATGTTCCATCTTAACATTTTCTTTTCCTAATAAGGGCCCACATTTAAGCTAATATTTTAAGCACCCTAGGCGCTAATTACAGCAAATTCATTGTATTGATTGTCAGCACAATATATTCATATGAAAACTTATTTCTGCTCCAAACTATTGTGTGTTCATCTTGCAATATTATAATTTTACATTGTAGTTTATTTTCACATCAAATTAACATCATGGGTGACCAGGGTAGGAGAAAGAAGATGATTCACCCCCTTGAAATGAGATTGGGAATCTCAACCCTAAGGGGAAGAAAGATTATATCAATCCCACACAGGTGTTCAGCAAGGGACACATAATTTTCTCACCCTGGACAGGTGAATACACACTTTTTACTGGTGTGAAATAGCCTTTTCTCTTACCCTGGACAGGTGTATCCACACTTTTATCGGTGTGAGATTTCCTTGTCTCACCCTAGGGTTGAGACGGAGGGATTCCCCTATTCATAACAATGGTATGACGTCACTTCAGCAATACAATGCTGTCACTTCAACAATCCATCAACGTCACGTCAACCCTGAATTTAGCCTGTAACATAATCATTACATTGTGAATATGATACACAATGGGAGAGCAAGGTAAGAGAAAAAGAATCATTCACTCCCTTGTGGGTGAGATAGGGCAAAGGCTTGTGTTTGGCAACTTAAGAATCTTCCCCCGAGGGTTGAGATTCCTCTATCTCACCCCCTTCGGGTTGAGAGATTCTATTAGTTTCACTCAATGGTTGAGACAAGGGGATTCCCTATAGTCATAACACAATTGCATAACATAACGTCAACAATGCATAAACAGGACGTCAACATCACATTGAGCTTGTAGTGTCCACATTCCATGATATGTATGTATAACTGAGTCAACAGGGTAAGAGAAGAAAGAATGATTAACCTCTTTGAGGTGAGATGTGGTTTAGAGATTATTAGGTATGAAGTGTTTAGGGTATAGAGATTGTTAGGTATGAAGTATTTAGGGTTTAGAGATTGTTAGTTATGAAGTGTTTAGGGGATAGAGATTGTTAGGTATGAAGTGTTTAGGGGATAGAGATTGTTAGGTATGAAGTGTTTAGGGGATAGAGATTGTTAGGTATGAAGTGTTTAGGGTTTAGAGATTGTTAGGTATGAAGAGTTTAGGGTATAGAGATTGTTAGGTATGAAGTATTTAGGGTTTAGAGATTGTTAGTTATGAAGTGTTTAGGGTATAGAGATTGTTAGGAATGAAGTGTTTAGGGTATAGAGATTGTTAGGTTTGAAGTGTTTAGGGTATAGAGATTGTTAGGTTTGAAGTGTTTAGGGTATAGAGATTGTTAGGTTTGAAGTGTTTAGGGTATAGAGATTGTTAGGTGTGAATTTTTTAGGGGATAGAGATTGTTAGGTATGAAGTGTTTAGGGTATAGAGATTTTTAGGTATGGAGTGTTTAGGGTTTAGAGATTGTTAGGTATGAAGAGTTTAGGGTATAGAGATTGTTAGGTATGAAGTATTTAGGGTTTAGAGATTGTTAGTTATGAAGTGTTTAGGGGATAGAGATTGTTAGGTATGAAGTGTTTAGGGGATAGAGATTGTTAGGTATGAAGTGTTTAGGGTCTAGAGATTGTTAGGTATGAAGTGTTTAGGGTATACCGAGATTGTTAGGTATGAAGTGTTTAGGGGATAGAGATTGTTAGGTATGAAGTGTTTAGGGTGTAGAGATTGTTAGGTATGAAGTGTTTAGGGTTTAGAGATTGTTAGGTATGAAGAGTTTAGGGTATAGAGATTGTTAGGTATGAAGTGTTTGGGGTATAGGTTGTTAGGTATGAAGTGTTTAGGGTATAGACATTGTTAGGTATGAAGTGTTTAGGGTATAGACATTGTTAGGTATGAAGTGTTTAGGGTATAGACATTGTTAGGTATGAAGTGTTTAGGGTATAGAGAGTGTTTGGTATGACGTGTTTGGGGTATAGGTTGTTAGGTATGAAGTGTTTAGGGTATAGAGAGTGTTTGGTATGACGTGTTTGGGGTATAGGTTGTTAGGTATGAAGTGTTTAGGGTATAGAGAGTGTTTGGTATGACGTGTTTGGGGTATAGGTTGTTAGGTATGAAGTGTTTAGGGTATAGAGATTGTTAGGTATGAAGTGTTTAGGGTATAGAGATTGTTAGAGCTACTTAGTTAGTTTCACTGTCATACTAAATTTGGAGATTTATCTTCCTGTGTATAAAAGTATCTACAGTGTATACGATACTTTCAGCAAAAATGCTTGTAAAAATTTCAAGGACAACCTGCTTTCAGCTTAATTAATCCATTTCCCTGGGAGAGGGCCTAGTAAGCTGTAAGAATTTGTGCCGGATCTCTTTTGACTATTCAATGTCAATAAAATATGTTTGAACAAATTTCCCAGAAATAAAAAATGTCATAAATTCAGCATTCTTAATTGATGAGGACAGATAACTTCAATGTTTGAGACATTTCTAGAAAAAAAAAAGTTGTGTTTATTCTTAAAGAAATTGTGCTACTGCTTTTATAAGATGAATTTGCATGGCAGTTGCAAAATCAATAGTGACCTCAAAGATTTGTTTTCCCTTTCCAGACTGGAACTACCAGATGCGACCGTCAGCGTAAGCAGGATGTGCGAGTCTGTAGGCATGACGTTTCCACGTTTCGTCTGTAGTCCTCTGTATAAGTCGCCGATGGTCTCTATCGTCCTGGCGCTGCTGTTTCAGCCTTTCTTCCTGGTCCTCCCTGTATGAAGAAAACAATTTTTGCTTCATTTACATAACTGACATGAGAATTGAACAACCAACAAAGGGTTTTCCTCAACATTGATGAATTACTTGCTGCCAACACATTTTCTATCAATCATAACTTTTAGTTACTCACAGAGAATGCAAAAAAAGCAATTGTTTTCAAGAATACATTTTGATTGTAAAGTTATTAAAAATCAATTGTCATCACTTTCAACAATTTCAGAATTATGGCAGATCCTATTGAAAATATTCAAAAATACTCAGTCTGTAAAATCTTGTTTCTTATCTTGAACAGTTTACTATTAAGGGAAGAGAGTCTTAAAAAACTTTGTTCAGTACATAAACACGACAACAGGAGGGGGGATTCTGCTCAAATCAAAGAAGGCAGTCTCTAAATCTTGTCTGGAATAATAAACAGCAAAAGACATCTCTAAATCTTGTTTTAAATACTAAATAGTGAAGGGTGTCTCTAAATATTGTCTTGAATACAAAACAGTAAAGGGAATCTCTAAATCATGTAAGTATACTAGACAACAATGAAGGGTGTTCTCTAAATCTTGTCTGGAATACTTAACAGGAAAGGAAATCTCTTAATCATGTAAATTATATTTGACAACGTGGGAGACTTGGAGTCTCTAAATCTTGTCATGTATACTAGACAACAGGGAGAAAACTCTTTAAAATCTTGTCCAGTATATATAGTTGGGTATTACAAGTGAACAATCACAATGGATTGTCTGGGGCACCTCATTAACATACAGTAGCTACAAACCTGGCCTTCGCCTGGGATTCTGTGTTCGCCTCATCATCAACTTTCACCTTTACAGGTGAAATTAGAAATGCCTGACCAAATATGGTCGCCTACAGAATGGAAAGAAATATTCATATTACACTGATATTCTCACTACAGTGTATTTCACAAATATTACGAAAATTCCATTCAGCAGAGTATTTTATATAATGACAAAATATTCCACGACATATGTTTTATAATAACAATGGTTCTATAAAATCCACCTACATTTTGTACTGAGAGATGACGTGGTCAGTGCTTAGAGTTTACTTGGTTCTAGAAGACGTTCTTTTTTCTTACAAGTTTTTGTTTTCGTAATCATGTATAAAACACTAAATGCTGTTCATTGAAGAAATGTTTAGCTATATAATGTACTTATATGTTTTTCTTTTGACTATTTGAGGCCTGGATTTAATTTACCATGTTCATTTCAATATCCTTTTTTGTGTTTAATCATTGTAAAAACATACAAATACCGACAAATGGCCTGGGGTCAGTATTAATGGTGAACCCACAGAAAAAGATACCACCATATTATGCATCCCTTATTTCTAAAAATTGTAAAAAAAAAATGTACTTTATTATGGTTGCTGTGTTTACGAGTTAAAATTTTCATAAAATAGAGCAATTCCAATTTTAATCAACTTTGTCAAGTTTTTGAATAGTTTTTCTATTGGAAACTATATTAGAGTGCATTTGTAATGATAAACTTGATCTAAGATTTTGCTTGATACTTGGTCCATATGAACCTAATTTCATCATGTTCCTCTACAGGTGTGTTTATGTGTAGTTACCATGCCAGCATGGAAGAAGTCAAGAGCCTTAGTGACAGATTCCTTGTCTCCGAGCAGAGCCCAGCCCACACCATTGATGCTCCTGGTCACAGGGTCCTGACAAAACAAACAGATTACAATAATATCCACATCATGACCACAGGGTCATAGCAATAAAAGTAACAAGAATTCCATGAAAATATTTGTCTCATCTATCCCCGCTTTGATAAGGAAATTTACAAATTTACAGGGCTTTAAAAAATGGGACATGTTCAAATGTGTCATTAGGGATGAATGACTTATTCTCCCAAGCTTCACAGGCGTGTCTCCCATTTTAGCCGGGAAAGATCAGCTTGTTACCCCCTAGGGGGAGATAGCCTCGTGCCGATTAGCATGTGTTCAATTGTGACGTCATTAAAATGTGTCACCAGTAATTGTGATGTCATCAAAAGTGAGTGACGATATTCATACCCCACATGTGTTTTTGTTTACACTACTGTCGGTGGAGTTTTGACTGAAATAATAGGATGGGAGAAAAATAATCATCCCCTACCTTAATGGTGTAACAGAGAAATCTCCAACCCTCGGGGTGATTTTTTTGGTTGTCTAACCCTCAGGAGAGCCTCGGGTTAGACAACAAAAAATCATCACCCCTCGGGTTGGAGATTTCTCTGTCACACCCTTAAGGTAGGGGATGATTCTATTAATCATGACCTCTGTGTCTCTTGCTGTTATCCCTTTAGCCTGGTTCTGATCTGTAATCAGCAACCTCCTTTTGGAGATCACGTTGACTGTACATGTACAGCCTGACAGCATAGTAACATGAAATTTCCCTAAATTCCTAAATAATTGTAACTAAAATGGAATGTTTTTGGAACTCAAGATGACCACCAGAAGATAAGAAGATTATCATTGATTATTGCTGATTAAAAGAACTCACAAGCTCAGATTTTGATAGAAGTAACAAGTACAGTTCCCGAAAAAGGAATTTAGTTCCAACTAGGAACAGAGGGATTGCGGATTTGATCCCAGGTGGAAGCACGGCTACTCTCTTTCCTGTGACAAAAGTAAGTACAGTTCCTGAAAGAGCAATTTCCCTTAAGCTCAGTGGTAGAGCGTCCGACTAGGAACCGAGGGAATGTGAGTTTGACCCCTGTAGAAGCACACTACTCTCTTTCCTGTTACAGAAGTAAATACAGTTCCTGCAATAGTAGTTTCTGACCTTCATGAGACAGACTTCCTCCAGGGTACAGTCAGCTTCCATTTCCAGTAACGCCTCTACTTTCTGTCTTGTTGTGTTCCCCGGTAAGTTACATAAGTACACCAGTAAATCTCGGCTGCTCGCCACCTAGGGGGAGAATGTAAGAAACAGACAGATATATCACAAGAGTTAACGGTTAACGGCTGTTTTGTGTGGTGATCAAATTTCATGGCAACATTTTTTTTCTTTGAAAATTACATTCATTGAAAGTAATCGCAAATTACTCCATCCTTATTGTAACACTATGTGCCGGAGAGAGAGTAAATCTGAAATCTGTGAATAACAGATCCTGCAAAATAGCATGTCGGAATACTCAGATGTCAAATTAGATGCACTTCACTTTATAACGTGTGTAAGAATGTACCTGAACAAGTTTTCTGAAATTTTTGGATATGAGATTCATTCAATTTCCACAAAACATTAATGCAAAAAATAAAATGTAAAATTATTTTATCGACAGTTGTTGGAAGGGAAAATAACATTTCATTATTATCTGACAGAGATTTCTTTTTCAAATATCATTATGTATTTACCTGTAGCCATGATGGAGTGTCTGTGGTAGGTTTGTTAGAACCTGTGATCATCTTCCATTCCTCCCCGGACCACACACACACGTCACTGCCTTCAACATAGAAACTATTGTTACCTATACATAACTTGCGCATTTTACTTTGGGTGCTGCGATTGGTCAACATTGTGACTTTAATTAATTGTATTTTTTTTCTGATAAATTATAATTATTTCGTTATCAAATGAATTTGAAATGTTTATTTTGTCATTATATTATATTTGTCATTTTTTTTTCAATCTGGAACTCCTTTGCACTGTGCAGAATGACAATACTATATATATTACCCAGGTGGCATAGGACTAGTAGTTAGCGCCTGATAAGGCAGTTCCTACAAATTCCTCAAAGTTGTATTGATTAAAGTATTATTTTGTGTACATGTATATGTAATTTGTAATTATAAATTGTATATCTAGGTACTGTAAAGCGCTTTAGAGTGGCTTATTCTAGTTAGATAGGGCGCTATATCAAATGTTGTATATTTATTTATTTCTAGATGTTGCGTACCAGTTCCTTTGAGGAAGGCAGAGATAACCTGAGAGTCAGCGAATGACAGGTTGGGCAGTTTCTCCTTGGCGTAGTCGGTCTGTATCCGCGGACTGTCCAGATTACAGCCGAGTTTTCCTGTTGTCAAACAAATGTTACAACAAAACTAATAACTTCAGAAAATAGATATCAAGGCACAAAAAATTATCTATTTGGTGTCCTTCTTCTTTCAAACAATAATGTAAATTAAAACCGTACAGCTTTGGCTGTTTATAAAACAGCATGTTTTGTGACGAAAAAGACTGTGGCTGGATTTTTTTAAGAAGGATTTGTTCAACTGAGATACAACTGGAACAAGTACGGTATAATGAAGTCTGGAATTTCAATTGACACATCCCTTTAACATCAGATATGGTACGATGTTAAAGGCCTATCAACCAGCTAAATTATTGGGTCACTTAATAAACACTAAAAAACAACAATTACAGGTTGGTTTTTTTTGAAAATCATTCAAAAGGCTTTATCTAAACATTTCTGTGAAAAGATTCATATAGCACAACCAAAAAGTGTTTATATGTAACGAGTCATTTCGGTAACTATATAGCAACTATTTGTACATACGCTTACAGCTTAGCCTAATCGACGTCTATATCTCCAGCACACACACTTGCATACACACATAGGGAGATATTAGCCAGGTGGCATAGGACTAGTAGTTAACGTCTGATAAGACAGCTCCTGTGAATTCCTCAATATTGTATTGATTAATATATATGCTAATTGTATTGACTGTATAAGATTGTATATTTATGTACTGTAAAGCGTTTTAGAGTGACTTATGTTAGCTAGATAGGGCGCTATATCAAATGTTTTTATTTTTTTTTATTTGTGGACAACTTGTACATATTTTACACCTTTGTGTGCACATGCTTCACTGGTCATTTGTCTAATGAAGGTGACAGAGTACATAAACATTTTTGGTTGTGCTATACATGAATCTTTTCACATTCAAAAGGCATTTTCACTACATATATACTTATTAGCATTATAGTTTACTTATGTAGATAAAACTCTGAACACCATAACAACAGAAGAAATGTACATACATGAATAAATCTTCATTTCAGATATTTTACAGCAACAGAATCTAACTCCTCTTTGTCAGTTTACTATCAAATGCAAAAAGACAACGCCAACAGCTTGAATGGTGAATCCTATTTTTCTATATTGATTAGTGTTTTACTGTTTATTTATAAACAGATAAATAGTATGTCTAACCCAGAATAAAATATTGGGCTACCTGTGAGGTAAATAAATGTTTACCAATGTCATGCAGTTGTAATGACAGGGGATTCCCCGCCTTTGTCCTATGGTAAGACGGAGATAAATCGGAGTTATCTTCCATGATCTGCTTTTGTTAATGTGACCTCATTACATTATTGACGTGACAAGGAATCCCCCCGTTTTTACCCTAAGGTAAGACAGAATATCTTTCACTGATCGAAAGTGGCGATATTTCTGTCTAATTGTGGAGAAAATCTACTCTTACTGTGATTTGAACATCAACTATCTGCATAAAAAGCCAGGTACTCACTCACTGGACCATTCTAGCCACTACTGTTAACCAGGCTTGAAGTACGCTAATTTACCTGGGCTGCCTCCAAGGGGAGATAACTTGACAACAAGTCCCTCTGGTAAATTTGGCCGGTCGGAACAACTTTGGACAATTTCTTCATCCTTCATCTCTACTTTAAAACCTGGAAATAATATAGCTCATTCATTATCAGTTGTAAAATTGTGTCAATCTGTGTGTACTTTCTCTCTTTCTCTTTCTTTTTCTGTGATTTTAAGAAAATACAAATTAATATTGACCCAAGTGGAAACCCATTGATAGGTTATCAGCCCTCTGAATGGTCAGCCAGGCCACTGATAATGTGACCCCAAACAGAAATTTGATCACATGCAAAAATAATGCCATTATATCTGAAGACAAAAGTGTGAAAATAATTATAATCATATTAGTTTGACAGTAAGTGCCAGTAATGGCACAAATGCCGAGACGAATTTCTCTGTTATCAATGTTATGAAGTGGTTTTTGTTCACAAATATGGCTGATACAAACAAATCTACCCAGTAGAACTGAAGAGTTAGTCAAGGGCAGTAACTCACATGCATAGGCTTACAACTATCACTAAATACAACATGCTTGTATATAATGGTGTCGTTTATTTTTTCTTTAAATCAAAAAATTTACCCAGTGATTTTGCAAGCGTTTTAAAAACTTCATCCATATCACCCTCATCTACGCCGCGGGTCTGATTCTGTAGATACAGCGTCCGGAGTGGCGACTTCCCTCCAATCACCGACACCAGGGTCACCAACCCGACCTTCCCTATAAAACAAAGGTTAAACTCTTCTTATTCTTACCTCATTAATCTCATTTACCTGATTTAAATCTTCTATAAAGTTACATTACCAATGTTTTATATATAAAAAAGAAACTTTTAAGCAGTTTTCCATTCATAGTATACAACCTATTATTTTAGCCACCAGAACCCCATACATGTATATTTTATCTAACATAGTGAGCTTTTCTTTCATGGTTGAACATTCTATATGACATTTGTAATCATTCATTCTAAATATTGAACAATATATTGCGAAGCTATCCTGTCCACAAAAATTAACTTCAACATTTCATACACTAAGTCAGGATTTTCCTTACAAAGATATATATTACAATTAAGTCATTGCAAACCTGCAATGTCACTGTAGACCAACATCATCGACAACTTTGTAATTGTTAACTAATGTCAATACCATCCAAGGACTTTACTTATAGCAAGGTTATGGTCAACCAAGGTCACGGCTTACAAAGGACATAGCCAATCAAGGTCACTGCTTCTCAAGGTCATTGCTTACCAAGGTCATAACCTACCAAGTTCAATCATCAACAACCAATGCATATGTAAACCAAGGTATTTTGAATAACAAGGTCATTGCTTCTCAAGGTCATTACTTACCAAGGTCATAACCTACCAAGTTCAATCATCAACAACCAATGCCTATGTAAACCAGGGTATTTTGAATAACAAGTTCATTCAGCTTCTCAAGGTCATTGCTTACCAAGGTCGTTAGAGCTGACATTGAGGCTGTGTAGTTGAGATGTGTGACTCTTTGTTGTGAATAGTTTGGCCAGGGACAGAGCACCTTGGTCCGTCATCTGAAGAGCAAGAAATCATTGATAACCCTAACACTGTATGCTACGTAAAAATCACAATTACGTTGGTAACTTAAGGCAGTATACTACAATCATCTTACATCTAACTTCTTGAAGATAGTGCAACTAGTTAGAAGCTTAAAAAGAAAATTGAATCATATCTTGGTGTAAGTTGATGTCACAAATAGATAAAATCCACAAGAATATGAAAGAAGTTATTAAAATATTGTTTTCACATATTTGTACGCTACAATGCATCCTTAAATCAAATGCTTACTAACGCTTACTCCATTTGAATTAAACTGTATTTCTTTAATCTTATAATAATTGAAAATGCTTATCAGCTGATAAAAAAATTCGTTTTGATCTGATTACTGTACAGTGGGATATTTCTGCCCGGTCAAAGTCTCGCCCTTCACCTTTAACTCATCCACCCCTGAACTTTCATAATTAAGTATTCCAACCTTTGAATTGGAAGAGTTCAAATGTGTCTTTCAGGGGTGAATGAGTTAAAATCCATATTTGCTAAGTATGAATTTTGACCTTCAAATGATATAACTACATGTATGTATAGTTTGCTGTGTACCAATATTTGTTTTCATGATCAATTTGCCCTCATTACAAAGGGCAAAAAAGGTAAAAGTTAAACAGCAGCAAACACATCTCGGTATACATTATTTCTATAAAATCACAACTTATCACTATGATTTTCATCCTCATGAAAATAGACTACATACATGATGACTAGATGTACCGTATACAGTTAAATTTTTCGTCTGTCAACCATGAAACCTATTTTCGCCTACTATTATATTTGCCTTTCTAATCTAATATGTATGTATATTATGTCCACTGTGGTGATAAATTTGCCCTTAGTACTGAGGGCAAAAAAGGCAAAATTAAACTGCAGCAATTTTTTTCAGTATACAGTATATTCAAGATGCTGACAGCCTTAATAGATTAACAGACATCTTCATGAAGTGTACAATTTTGATAACAGATGTTGTAACATACTATGAAACTGTCACTCACAGTATTACTAGACACATCCAGGACTGCCAGGGGGTGTGTCTTGTTGCTAAGGACCGCCTCCACCAAGTCTGTCACTCCCTTATCCTCCAGTCGATTGGACGAGACTTTTAGCATGTGCAGCTTCAGGCCCTTCCTGAGGGCCTGACAGAGGGGAGCGATGTCTGTTGCAGACAGGGAGCATGCCCCTACACTCAGGGTGGTCAGGGAGCCTCCAGTAGAGCTCGCTATATGTATAAAGTAAAAATACTCTATTCCTCGTACCAAATATTGCACATAACCGAGGAAACTGTTACTAATATTTGCGATTCTATTTCTTGTATGCAAGTTATGTAAAAAAAATGTTATACTTATCAAATGAAGCTGTTTCTGTATGTACAAGGAAATGTTACAGTATAAGATTCTATTTCTCATAATCATACTTAACTCAATCACCCCTGATATGTCATAATGAACTATTCCAACCTTTGAATTGGAAGAGTTCAAATATGTCTTCAGGAGGGAATGAGTTAATGTCTAGTTACAACTGTGTAAAGGCAATTTATTATTTTTCTCATAACTATACAAAATGTTGAACATATACAAGAAAACTGTTTCTGTATAAATAATGTAATATTTCAGTGTATGATTCTGTTTCTTCTTAACATACAAAATGTTGTATAGTAATGGAAACTGTTTCTGTACATATAAAACAAAAGCATAATATTCTATTTCTCATACAAGAAGTGTTACTCTTGTTGCATTTCATACCAGACAAATTCAGGTAGGAAAGGCTTCACAACATCCGATGGAAGGTTTATCAGCAATATATATCACAGTTTATAAACATTGCTTAACCTTCCGTCCGATGTTGTCTAACCACTTCTGCCTGAATTTTCATTACTATTTGTGGTGGACTCGTGTATTCCCTTAGGAATCCATCCGCGGACCACCCACCCAAACATTTGGAAGATATGGATACAAACGTTGGGTTTTGTTTGCTTTCAGTATTGTATACCTAATATATGTTAAATGTGAAGTTATTTCTCATTGGAGTTATAAGTTGGAAGACAGCTGTCAGAACTCCAACCCCTACATACATGTACACTAACCATTCAAATAGAATTCCCAACTTGGGGATTAAGTACAATATTTTCTCTCATTCCCATTTGTGTAAGACAGAGCTGTTCCTGGGTCAGAATGGGGTGTAGGAAATTTCTATCTCAACACCCCGTTTCTCGTGACGTCACGTCACAATTGCTCAACAACGATGTGACATCATGAATATGGAAAAGTCTGAAGCTGCAATGCAGAATTTGGCTACATAATGAAAATAAAAACTTTTACAATAGATACGATTTTTTCTGTGCAAATCATGTTTGCAAATACAGAGTATGCTTAATCCCACTGACAGATTCGTTTTTGTCAATAAAAGCTCAGGGGAGAAGTAGATAGTTTTCAAAATGGTAGCCTGTCCTAACACATTTTCATGGTTTCTGAGCTTATTCTGGTACTTAGAATGAGGGGAAAATACTTTGTCATGCCCAGGGGTGAATGATAGGGAAATTCAACCCTCAGGATTTTCCTATCCTAGACCCTTGGGCATGAAAGAGTCTTATAATATTAATATTGTTTTACTCCTTTCTTTCCACGGCCCTAAACCCACCTACCCAGCAGTGTCTCCATGACGTCAGTGTTTGCAATCTTCTGTCCATCCAGAATCAGAGTGGTCAGACTGCCTTGAACTTTATAGAGGTCAGGCAGGAGATGGATGTCGGTCAGTTTAGACTTCCTCACATTAAGGTAGTGGAGGCTTGGAAACTGACCGTTGGTCAGCTGATCTGTCAGGCCGTTCGTGTTTTTCATCAGACTGTACTTTAACTTCCGAAGTACACTGGGGCTCCCGTCAGCTAAACAATGAATGAATATAAGCCATACCACATCAATATGTACAGTCAACCCTGTGTTAACTCTTTCTGTACCGCTACTCCGGTCTTCATTCTAGAATTGTACTGACTGTCCTTACTAGACTCTCCCCCGCACATATAACAAAATAGCGGATTATTGATGTACTTTTTAGACGAGGTGTAACTGCTGCAAGAAATAAACAGGTAACGTAACCGTGAACAAATATTGTTATTGTACAAATGTTGTTATTCATAGACACACAGATCGTCATTGTCGCAGCATTATGACTATAACTGGCAGCTGATTATGACCGAGAAATCGACATTTGTCCGGCAGCAAAAGATACGATTCCTAGTATTCAAAACAGCGTTGTAGTGTAGGTATTACTTTCTACATGAACAATGTACATAGTAAACGTGTTGTAACGTCTCAAGACCGACCGGTCCCTTTATCAAGCTATGACTGAGTAAGCGATTTGTATGTTTACCTGTACAACGATGTGAAGAAATTGTATATTTTTTATGTCACTCGACCCGGGACGTTTCGTCTATCGATAGGGAGCATTATATATATATGTACACTGCATCAGATAGGTCACAGGTAGAAAGATATATCTTATTGAAGCTTCTGTATGACATATTTCCTTGTGACATTACAAGAATGACAAAATTTGTATGCTTGGAGTTGTTTTAATTTTTCATTACAGAGATATCACAAAACAATTACTCTCTCCATTCCTTACTTGAGGTCATGTCAGCCACAAACTTCAGACACCCCGGTGTCAGCTCATCATTAGCACTCAGGTCAATGTCTATGAGCGGCAGTTGTCTGCCCTTGAGAAGAGTTGCTATAGAAGATATAAAGGTGTCGTTGATTTTTGAGCTGCTGAGGCTGAGGAATTGAAGGTTTGATATCACATCTGGTCGGACACAAGATGCAGCATCTGAAAAACATAAAGAGGTAACATACATGAAGATTAAATTTCAATTTTGAATATTCTTATGATAATTGAAAAACAATTTTCTCACATCTTAAGGAACCCTGTCTTACTTCACTGTGGTGTTTGGTAGATACAGTAACCTCCCTTTAACTTCCTTTTATTTGCATTACTGTAGCACAGTTAGACCAGGTTAGTTCCGTTGACCAGATAGCTCAATCGTATAGAGCTTTAGTAATACAACTGAAGTTCAGAGTTCAACTCATGACTATACATTTGTATGCCCATTAATAAAACCACCCTTTTCCATCCCAACTATTCCCATTGTCAGTTTCCGAGCTTTTCTAACACAAACATTAAAAACTACCCCCAGCCTCTTTATCAAATTACCACATTCCCAATAACCTAGACTTTCCCCAATCCCACAGCCCCCATTTCCCTCAATGCACATCTAACCCTTGCCCTGTCCCTATCAGTCGAACAAACCCAGACCTCACCTTACACACTAACTCCTCCCCTACTCGTTTTCCTAAGCACTATTTTAGACCACCACCATCCCAACCCCAAGCTCCAGCAATCATCCCTCATCCCCAGTCCCCAACCCCTAGTCCTCATCCCCAGCCCCCAATCCCCAGCCCCTAGCCCTCATCTCCAAATCCCCAGCCTGCATCCCCTAGCCACCAGCTGCCAGCCCCCAGCCCTCATCCTCTAAATCAAATCTGATGTAATACTGACCATCTGTTGTACAGGTGGTGTCTTGGATCTGGACATTGTCCACACTCAGGTTAGTTATACTTGGGTGGCTAGCGGCCGTCACTACAACCTTCAGTAAGGTCTTCAGGCTCCCAAACTATAAAATAAAACAAATAGTACAGATTTATATAATATTGTCTATGCTCAGGTTGGTTATACATCGGTGGCTAGCGGCCGTCACTACAACCTTCAGTAAGATCTTCAAGCTCCCAAACTTCAAAATAAAACAAATAGCTTAGATTTATGTGTCATTCAGCTTAAAAAGCATCTCGACTTATTGAATCAAAATCATCATATTATGCAGGGTTAATCTTGGAGGGGGCCATGGAGCCATTGACCTCTCAAAAGTCAAATTGACCGCTCCATGTTATGACATATTCTATGGGTGCAAAAAGTGTAAGTGAGTGTAACCCCTGGTGTATGAAGGATCTTAAATTTATTACTGTTGAGATTTTTTTATCCCTTCACTGTTATAAACTTTGTCATTGTTAAGGTCAATTTAATCCTTTTATCACTGTAGACCATAATGGACTTATCCAGAGCAATGCATGGTAAGGTTAATTAAAATTACATAGGGGTGAAAGGGTTACGTGGATCCCTGTGATAACCTGTGTAACCAGGTTAGTGTATCTCTAATTACTCTAAGGCAAACAGTAAGTTAAATTACCTACTGCAGTACTGTTGTGCATATAGGTGTCAACCCCTGAAACCTCCACTGAGGGAGATCTCCCTCATTCCACATGTCCAATGAGGGAGAAAGTGTGTGAAACGTGACTGAAACTGCTTTCCTCATTCAAACATATCTTACTGACACTGAATAGTCAAAAGTATTGGGCACAAGTTCTTACAACTTCCTATAGGCCCTCTCCCATTCTTATGTATCAAAATAACTCCAAAAAGCATTCTAGAAACACCTGTTATGATCATTACACACACCCTGCACTAATTAATTATATCATTTGACCACAGGATGTAGATTTTGAGTCTGTGTGAGTTTGGACTTGAATGGGGGAGTTTCGAGGGAGATTGGTAAATTTTGCTTAGAATGAAGGGGTCTCCCTCCTAATGAGGCAGGGTTGATAGCTATGGTTGTGGTTTGTCAGGCCTAACCCTACAGTTACCTACCGCATTACCGTTGAGATTGAGTTCAGTCATTGATGTGTTGTTCTGCAGGCCATCTCTCAGAATTTCTATACTGGCCTCATTTAGTTCACAGTTCCCCAGGGCCATAGACCGAAGTCCACAGTCATCTCGCTAAAACAGGCACCTCATTAATTTTAAAAGGAAATTTAAACTTACTCATTCACCCCTGAATTTCATAATGAACTAGTCCAATCTTTGAATTGGAAGAGTTCAAATGTATCTTCAGGGGTGAATGAGCTAAACATGATTTTGATCATTTTGTTTTACATATATTACCAGCATTGATAGTTGCTCTGTTTTCAGGTCATAATAATGTGATAACCTTGAAAAAAACCCAATGAAACTGTTAATGTAATCAAGTATAAAAATGTATGCACAATAGTGTTTTTTATTCTTTTTCTTTTTTGAGAAAAAATAAGAAATAACATTAAAATTATATAAAAAATAAAACATGTAAAAGGTGGGTGTTTGTTTATCAAATGACTGATCAAGACTCTGTCCTGGTTACCCAGTACATGTATTCTTCTCAAACCTCTGCAACTTTTGCATAAAAATAAAATCTAGCAGATTTCTCCATATACAACACATTTGAAATGGAAATGATTTATTTCAAGGGGAGGTAAATCTGGATGATGTTGGTACATGTATGGAGACAACTTACCTTAAGTATGTTTGCAAACCCTTCGGTCACACCAGCAGGATGAGAGAAGGAGTTCATACTGAAATCTATCTCTGTCAGACTTGTGTTTTCTGTCAGTCCCTCCATCAACACACGTAGGTCCCTCATCCCCAAACTTTTGGCCCTGCATCAACAATCAAATATGGATTGAACAGCTTTTTTTTAAATTTTCATGCCTTTACATCCATATTGCATGTTTAATACGGATATAACCAACTTTTTTTTACTTAGAACAATTATTTGATTTTATTTATTTGTTCTTAAATAATTGATTTATTTACTACGTTTTGTATGTGTGTCGTCCTTTAAACAACATTGGTGGAAAAGTCCTATTTAACTAAAATTGGCATCAATAACTAACTGTAGTCATTTGAGCGTTTGACACAGGGGCATTCTCCATGTTATCCGAAGCGAGCGACAAGACACTCATTGAAAAAGGTTAATCTATGACGTCGTAAGTAAACCATGCGTTATGTCGCAAAAGTTTTTGCTTTCATACTCAAATGAAATACGTTTCTGCTGGTAATGTCATATATTTTCATCTCAACTTTTTTTTCATTTTCATGATCAAATTTCTATGCTGAACAAGTGGACAAATTCAAGACAATTCAACATACCAATTTTTAAGTGAATTAACTTTGAAATCCCCAGGACAAATATCTGATGATTGAGTTTAAAATTAAGCAGGGTGAAAAACATTAATTTACAGTAAACAACAGACAAAATTAATGTCTATACAATTATGATCAATTGTTTATGACAACGAGGTAACTGCTGGCATCTTTGATCAAAATTTAACATCCAGAACAAGAGGGCATACACACACAACTTTAAGAAAAAACATTCTAAATGAGATATTAGGAAAAACATTCTTTCAGCTACAGAACTGTTTTATTTTCCCAAGGCAGACATACACTGACTACAACAATTAGAGGCTTTGAAATTAGTTTGGACGGTCATTGGAAACATCATGAACTAAAAGGACTAGGGGCATTAAGGGGCATTTCTGGCCTCATCGGATATTTAGAATTAGTTGTTATATTCGTAATCTGGAATAAATGATGTACGCAAATAAGAAATTTCAAATTCATTTGACAGCTAGTTTAGGAGATATGGCATTACAAAGAGAGACATAAATGTGCATTTTCATGATAAAATGCGTGAATATCGTCTGTTGTGCGCTATTTGGTTGAAAATTGGCTATTTTGAAGGAAATTAGCTAAATGCTCTTCTATTTTTCTTACTTACCTGAGAGTCTGTATAGAGGTGTTGGTTTGGAGGGCAGGGTGACACTTAATTACCTGAGAGTCTGTATAGAGGTGTTGGTTTGGAGGGCTGGGTCACACTTACTTACCTGAGAGTCGGTATAGAGGTGTTGGTTTGGAGGGCAGGGGCACACTTACTTACCTGAGAGTCTGTATAGAGGGGTTGGTTTGGAGGGCAGGGTCACACTTACTTACCTGAGAGTCTGTATAGAGGTGTTGGTTTTGAGGGCTGGACCCACACATTTGGAGAAGTAGTCGATTCCGAGGTTGTTGTTAGAAATATCCAGGTAAGCTAGTGTTTGGTTCATTCTCAACATCTGCCCAATACACTCCTTCAACATTTAATTTTAACATCGAAATATATCTCACAGATTCATTAGAAGGGAACACATAATTATTTTCCAATCTTTACCAATTTTACGTTCCACATTTTCCATTGTATTAATTCCAAGAAGGTAATGTTATTCATTTCATGAAATACATATTTTTAAGTGTGCTACTACTACTATTCACAACATAATTTGAGTCCTTTTTCACAATTTTTGTTTAACCTTTAAATGTCAGTTCTATGTTTTGAATAAAAAACAATTTCTCTAAGATTTCAAGGGAGATAACTCTATGGAAATTCACAGGTACAAAGTAAAAGGAAGCATATATCTTGAAATGAAATCTTTTTCTTGCAGAGATATTGAAGCCAATATTCACTCTTGGAATTCTAGAGGTTATGCTCGTTTACATTTAATTCCCCCCCCCTCAACCTGGAAGATGTCATGGTGAAATTGATGGCAAACTGTTAGCTGCATCTACATGTACATGTATATGGTTTCAGGTAAAAAAAAAAAAACTGCTAGGCTGATACCTTTGAAGGTAACAGTAGAGAGATATCCACCTTCAAAGTAGGTCAATTTTACTGTTACACTGTACTGTCATGTGGAGAGAGCCTTCGATTAGGTCATGACACAATCAAGGGTTCAGAAAACGTAAAATAAGCATAACTCCTGGAATCTTAAGGTTATGTCAATGACATAAATATTCCTGAAACTGCTGGGGGCTGCACAATTATCTTGTCTTACTTACAGATGTGTCTGTGTCTGTTTTGTTGTCGGACAGATTGAGACTGAGGATCGTAGTATTGTTACACATGGCCAGACACACACTGCGGAACGCCTGCGGACCCATGTTGTTATAGGACAGATCAAGCTCCTGAAGAAACAAACATATAAGTATTCTGTTATTTAAGAGTAAGAGGTGGTCGGGTAGCACAGTTGATAACACACTTGCCTTTCACGAAGGCGGCTGGGGTTCGATTCCCTGATCGGACCTGAAAAGGTATGGGGTCACCTGCCCGACCACGTGGGTTTTTCTCCGTGTACTCCAGTTTTCTCCCATGTTAAGACCCCCATGTGTGCTAAAATTCGGGCCAGCAAGAGTAATTAATATAAGTTGAAGAAACTTATTTCATAATTGTTGTAAAATACATAAGTTTATATTTATACTAAAAGCTGATAACCGATACAGTTTTTATCTGCCAAAGAAACTCAAATTTACACATTACAGATAGGTCAATATAATATCTATTTATAGACTTATTGTTATTATCTTACACCAGCTCTTGACCAAAAATATTGAACTTTAATATATTTTGTGCTTGATATTAAGAAAATATGTTTAATAATGAAGGATGAAAAGTACTTTTACCCTTTTTTCTTTACTTCTACTGTGTAATATTGAATCATACACATATATCATACAAAGTAACTATATAGACAACTTGTTCTATGGAAGGTTTCCCATCGACCTACAGTATTTTTCATGGTGAGTGTCCCTGAATCTACAGTTAAGTTTGACCAGTGCTTTTTGTCTACACTCTTGGAAGACATCTTGACAAAATTGAAATCTCTTAACATGCTACCTTGCAGACAATAAAACAACACTAGTCTGGAAACTGTTACCGATTCTTGCTTATTTTGATACAAAATGAAAAGAATCTTTTGGATGCATAACAGTAAAATTGATCAATTTTGGATTTGGTTTACAAAATAACATGTAGCGCCTCAGTCTTAAAAAGACAGATAAAAGCCAGGCGATAAGTCAGTTTTTTCATGTTTGAAACTAATTAAATGGGTAACTATAAACCTTCAATTTTGTCCCAACAGAGTCTAAGGGTGCAGAGATAATATGCAAATTGAAAGTGCAGAACCATTGGATTTTGGAGATTGCTATTTAGAATAACTTACCTGAACATGTGTTAACTTGGTGAGAAGGTCATGCAGTTTGAAGTTAGAGGGCAGTGACCTCTGTAAAAGTAACTTTGTGACGTTCTGAACATTGAGAAAGACTTACCCGTACATGTGTTAACTTGGTGAGGAGGTCATGCAGTTTAAAGTTAGAGGGCAGTGACCTCTGTAAAAGTAACTTAGTGACATATTGAACATTGAGAAAGACTTACCTGTACATGTGTTAACTTGGTGAGGAGGTCATGCAGTTTGAAGTTAGAGGGCAGTGACCTCTGTAAAAGTAACTTAGTGACATTCTGAACATTGAGATTCTTTAACAAACTGTCTGGTTTAATTAGAAGACACGCAGAACTAAGAGCATCATCAAAATTACGCTGATCTTCAGGTTCAGGGGGAATAACTCTGTCCTCTATTTCTGGCATTTTCACACTGTCTTGTTTATTTGTGGAAGCTTCTGTTTCTCCTTTATTTTCGATGTTTTCTTGTTGATTTCGTTCTTTTGAATCGGAACCTTTTTTCTCCTCAGTCTCTCTCTCAACTTTTTCTGACTTTTCTGCAGGAGAGTTATCTTCTCCTGTTTTACTTTCAACTTTTTCTGACTTTTCTACAGGAGAGCTATCTTCTCCTGTTTTACTATCAGGATCAGGTTTTAGTACAGCTTGTTCTTCTTTTGATCGCTCCGATTTTTCCCCTTTGAACAAAGATAATTATACATACATGTACCAGTGAAAGATTGGACACTACACCAATGGCATTACAAATCAGAGATTCCAAGATTTAGCCGAGGGTTTTAAACACTTTTGATTTGAAATCTCAGTCTGAAGGTAGAATGAGCTAATTTTTTACACAGAGCACACTTACACTCTCTGCCCCCTTGGAATATGTTATAGCAAAATTGAAGGCACATGGTTATAGCTATTTGATTGGTCTTAGGTTAAAAAACCTGACCATGCAACTGATGTATTTTAGATGAAATCATCAGATCTTATACAATGAGAAAAGTTTCCCAAATTCACTGGTTGAAAATGCTTAATTTCAGGGTAAAATATCAGGAGTCTCCATCCAAAATAGCGAGAGCTGGCAACTAATATGCCGTCATATAGATTGATAATTACCTCCCCCTTGTGAGTTGTCTCCCTTGGGATCTTGTGATTCTGCTTTGTCCTGTTTTATTGGTGGCAATGGCCGGCCCCCTGTTGTATGGGCTGGTGGTGAACTAGGAGGAACAGACACTTCCTGTTTTATAGGTGGAAGTTTTGTTGCATCAGAGTTATCTGCCTTTGGTTGTGAAGTTGGAGTTGTCTGCCCTTTGCTATCTCCAGTAGTATTGGAGTTATCTGCCTTTGGTTGTGAAGTTGGAGTTGTCTGCCCTTTGCTATCTCCAGTAGTATTTGAGTTATCTGCCTTTGGTGTTGTCTGCCCCTTATCTCCTCCTGCACTTTGGTTAGTGTTAACAGGTGGCTTCTTTTTACTGCCTCCAGATCCCATCTCTGATTGGTCAACTTAAAGAAAATAATGTTAATTACCAGTAGGTATATTTTAAACTTCATGCAAACAAATTGAGGATTTTCATCATAATATAATAATATTAATAATTTGAGTTTCCTATATACCGCTTTTCCACAACCTAGTTTGTAGGTTGTCTCAAAGCAGTTCACAAATTGTTATCCATGGTTAATATAAAGGGCCTTTGCAACTAGCCAATATCTGTCTCAACTCCCTGGGGAGCATACAGCTGGTGCTGCCATTTCGGTGCTCACAGCCAGCATTCAGCAATTCAAGCACTGCCCAACCACATACTCATTTAAAGCTAAGTAGATTGAAACAAACAGAGTAAAGTATCTTGTTCAAAGATCCTTCGGTCACGAGCCTGGCCTCCTTCCACGAGACTACCGTGCCTCCTTAATACTATTGATCATAATTCGGCTCATTTAGGATCTTCGTACCACTGTCAAAAAAATAAACTAGTATGCATTCAAAACTTATTTTTCCGGCATGACTAAAGCTTTGATAAACCGTTTTTGTACAGGACTTTTATGAAAACGTAATCAAGTTGAAATAAACAAAAGATAATTTACAAACTTGTTCTGAGTGTAAAATATTCTGCCGGGCCAGACAGGGATTTGAACCATGAACTACAGATTGTTATACAATCGCTGAAACTGACTAAGCTCCCTGGACAACGGAAGTGTACAGGCCCAAATGTGCTAGTTATATCCAAACGGGAGTTAAGGGGAGATAACTGTATATCGGGAAAATGGCAGTGCAGTGGGACAGGGATCCTTAAACTGTTTAAGGCAGCATACAATCAACTGAGCTGTTTCTTTCAAAACAAGAATTTCATGTACAAGAAAACATAAGGACTTAATTAAAGGAGGTATTCCAAATATTGATTATTTCCTGTGAAATAGGATTTTTTTTTCTTCAAATATTAACAGAAAATAACCATTCAATGAAACAAAATTCTACTGAAAAAACTAATTGATTTTCATCATTGTTTTAATCATCAGAGTCAAAATATTAATGAGAAAGATAACCAGGTGCAAAAAAGCATTTTTTTTATATCAGAATTACATGTACAATGTAGTACAAGTTACTAAATACATGTAACAATGATAAAAATGAAAAAAATCAAATACTAAAATGAACAAAGGGCAATTGCTTTTGGAAAAATTGTCGAAATCAAAATTATTTTGAGAGAGACACAACTTCAAATCATGTTTATAATGTGTACCAAGTTTCAAAGAGATCTGTTGAAAAATGTAGGAGGAGATTGCTGGACAAAAATTAAATACTCAAATAGACAAAGGGCAATAACTTATGAAAAAATTGTCAAATCAAAATTCTTTTCAAGGAAAGACAACAATCTATCCTGATTATTTAGCCTACTACGTTTCAAAGAAATCCCTCAAAAAATGTAGGAGGAGATCTCCGACAAAAAAACCAATACTTAAATGAACTAAGGGCAATAACTTTTAGAAAAATTGTCGAATCAAAATTCTTTTGAAGGAGACACAATTTCATATCATGATCATAATGGAAACCAAGTTTTAAAGAGATCGGTGGATAAATGTAGGAGGAAATTGCCGGACAAACAAAAGTTTATGCCGGACGGACGGACAAACCCATACCATAATACTCCCGTCAAATTTGACGAGCGTATAAAAATGAAAAAAATCATCCTGAAGCTTGAAACGATACAAAAAGAAAACACATGTACTTACTTTATATTGAACAAAATTCCATGACGACAAAATAGCTAACTTCAACTCATCTGTGCTTAGCCTCAGAGCCCAGCTACAGTGTTCCAAGGGTGGACAATGCTACTATTTACCCCGCGCCCGAGGCGAGTGGCTTTATGTTGACTGAAGGACAGTGCTATTGAAGCTTTTCAATACATACTATGAAAACATAGATTTGTCCATTAGATTTTTTTTCAAAACCTTTCCGTGTGTTAATACTCAAATATGAAATTTTACAACCCTTTTTACATACACTGACAACTGTGGAACTTGTCAACATTAAAATGGTACACCGTTATTTTTGCTCAGTATACATAACCCACACAATCGTTGATAAATAAATCAAGAGGGTTCTTTTCAGGCTTTCACCTTTTCTAAAATCGATAAAAAACAAAGGTATTGTTTTGTGCCACAACATGCATACACAAGGGAATGTCTTTGTGGCGCTTTTTTGTTATGTACTCAAGAGTTACAAGTTGCATGCACGCTTTATTTCTAATTTGGGAAAAAATCCTCAAATTTCATAAATAAATACTTATAGTCACCATCTTTGAGGGTGGCCTTTTTCATTCACAGTCCGTGTTGTGTCGTTTCTTGTTATAGTGAGTAGATGCAAGTAATATTCTTACTTCCACTAACGTACATATCTTATTTGACCTAAGAAAAGTCCTGGGTACTTATATAATGTGGGCAAAATACAAAAATGTTGTTAGTTTCCAGTTACCCTACATACCATAGGTTTTTGTGCCTAATCTAAACTTCTTTGACAATTTTCAAGGTAGTATACTGTTAGTCAAGATTTAAATTAACCCTCATACATGTATATATCAACCTTAAAAAAAAAATGTAGAAAAAGATCCAAAGTATGTCGATCAACCAGCTGTTGTTAACCAAAGAAGATTTATTACACCATCCTGTATATAATATAGTGTGTTAGCCTGGTCGCATAATTAATAATTTATACACAGTGTAGTACACTCACACAGTATGTGGTCGTCACAGAATCCCTTCCTCTGTAACACAACTCTATCTAAATGTTGTCTCTATCAGAAAACAAAATATTTCTGTGATGGAATTCAACATATTGATAAATATCTGAATGTGTTTTGTCATGTATATTTGATAAATCGTATAGCAGGATATTTACACGTGAAATAGCAAGTATCAGGTTATGACAATTTGTATGTTTGGTTAGGTTTTACGTCCTTTTAACAGCTGTAGTCATTTAGAAAATGTGCCAGGTTTTTGGGGTGGAGGAAAGCCAGAGTTCCCAGGGAGAAAAACCACCGACCTACGTCCAGTACCTGGCGACTGCCCCACGTAGGCCTCAAACCCGCGACCCAGTGGTGGAGGGCTAAAAGTGGTAGCAGAATTACAGACGCCTTAACCACTTGGCCACCGCGGCCCCTTATGTTAACCAAGAGTAATAAATGATGTGTGAAAATTTTATATATTGTATCACACATCTAATAGTTTGGCTGATTATTTGTTTAACAAAATAATCTTACTTATTGTTGTCAAAATGTTGTAATAAAACCTATACTAAACCGGTATGGCCATACATCGAGGAAGATTCTCAGCACTATAAACAGGTATGGCCATACATCGAGGAAGATTCTCAGCACTATAAACAGGTATGGCCATACATCGAGGAAGATTCATAAATGCATAGTTATTGAACATAAGAAAAAAAGAGCTAAAGAGGACCTGATTTATGTTGGAGGTAAATAAATGAGGCCCATGAAAACAATACTGTATGTCATTTAAAAATTCATTTCAACTCTAGATCTGAACACTGTCTTTGGTTTGGTTTGGTTTATTTTGTTCAACGTCCTATTAACAGCTAAGGTCATTTAATGACGTGCCTCCATGTGTGTAGTATAAGCGTGAATGTGTATATGTGTGCTGAAGGCAGGGTATGTTGGTGTACATGCCTTCTATGTGATGGTGTGAATCTGATGCCGACTTTATAGTGCTATCTCACTGGAATGCTATGCCAAAGGCACCCAGCCACAGCATTCTGCCTGGTTACATGTTGCCATTTCCCTAAGCGCAGTACGTTAAACAGGGAATTACAACTACCCTTTTTAAGGACTTGGGTATGTCCCGTCCTGGGGACAGAACCATTGCCTCCCTCACCTGGGCGAACGCTCAACATAAAAGCCAAAAGTGAGGCGTTGTCAAGCAAGGCGCCAGGAAACAAAAGGTAGATAGAAGTAGAAAGATCCCAAATATGCATAAATATATATTAACTAAATGTACGCCACACACTTGGAGGCAGTAACATGACACAACCAGCAGTGTGATAAAAACAACTCAGGTAAAATAATTAGATAATCTATTCTCTTCTATTTCTATCAAAATAAGCGAGAAAAAATGCAAATAACTTTCTTTATCATAGGTTTCTTACATATTCTTTTTGTTTAAAAAAATATTCGTTGCGTTTTTGAAAAGACAAACATGTATATGATTTTAAACCTACAGAAATCAAGTGAAAGAATGAAAGTCTTACCTTAATCAAAGAAATATTGTTTCCTGGTGTAAAGAAATAATCTGATTGTGTTTCCTCATAAAACTTGTCAGTATTCAACCAACACATGCAATATTGATTTGACAAAAAATGTGCAGCATGTATCTGTACATATCTGCCAGACAAAGCTAAATCAATAGCATGCAGGTGACTTCATGAGGAAAGCATTGTCACCTTACAATCAGATTGGTGAAAATTTTGAAAATTATTATTATATTTATTTTTAAAAAAACACAGAGATATATTTTAGATTCATTCAATCTATCTAGCATAGTTAACAGGGATTATTGATAACTCTAATGTGGCAAGAAGTGTATACCAAACTCAATATATCTATGATTTATTGATATAACTTTTTTACATTATTAAGATGATAGCACTTTTTTTCCCCTTACCACATGTGCATGTTCAAGATAGTCTCATAAGAAAAAACAGGAATGTTGCATGATTTAATTATTCCCTTGCGATAAAATTGCAGAGAGGATGTAGAATTCAGTTCATGTGTACCTAGTTCTTTGGTACAGCTATGGTCAGCAGCACTCTATAGTCGTTTTATTTCTAAAGAACTTTTGATCAAACTTAGTATATTTTTGAAGTTTAATAAGTTTTCACTTTAATGTGCAAAGGTCAAAGTCAAAGTTTCTGTTACTATGCATCTAGAACATATTTGTAATTGCTCCAGCGACATTCAGACTATATTTGTCAGCCTTATTTTATTAATTTTCATACTTTAGTTGAGTATCAGATTGCCTTAAAATAGTTTATGCTTCAGTGTACCAAGGTCAAGGTCACATTACTATTTATAGAATATATATGTTTTAGTCAGAATTCATGTATTCATCAATTGTAAGAATTCCTTGAACATGTACGTTTGTTTCTCGGTCAAAGTCAAAAACAAAACCTTTGTTATCATTTGAGCAGCTTCATTTCTTAGAAGATCTTTATCAAGCTTCATGTATTCGAGGAATTGTTTAAGTATAAGAGGTATTGTCTAAGCATAAGATATCTCGAACATTTTTTTTAATTTCCTTGATATTGTGTTGATTTGGTCAGTATATACATATAGGATCTTACATGAGTTTCTATTTCATATGAGATTTATGGAACGAGTCCAAGAATATTTCAATGAAGCGAGCCTCTGACGAGCTAAAATTAAAAATTTGTGACGAGTTTCATAAATTTTATATGAAATGAAAACAAGTGTAAGATCCTTTTTATCTCATAATCAAGATTTGCGGCATTTATAATTATTCTTGTTAAACGACAATTTTCAGGCAACCTTGAAATGTAAAAAGCCGCCATTTTGACTCCAGCGCATAAGTCTGTAGCGTCATGTACTTGTCCTAGACGTGACGTCACAATTGAAACAATTGAAACTTACAACCAATCACAGGGCTGATAGGTCATATTACATAGGTTAATACGCCAAAAAATATGACACTGGCTTACACAGTACATTATGTGATAAAAAGTGTATATTTACCCTGGGTATGGTGATGGACTATATGTGGTGAAGGTTTAATGGACGACGGCTAACTCCTACATTTACCCTGGGTATATATATGTTTATACAGTACAACAGTAACAAATATTTCAGCATGATATCATGTTACGTTTGATGACACATATTTTTCCTACATTTTCATTGGTTTGATCATAATCATGTGGAGGTTGGTATTTTGTAATATTGACTCAGTGTTAATTTTTTTTAGAAACAGCAGGTTTGTGATGTCATTTCCATCTTAATGTCACTTCCTCGATACAATTTTCATACACTGTATTCCACTTTGTGTAATTATTAAATCAATATTTACCATCTACTAAAAAAAATAAGACTTTTTTTTTCTGGTCTACATGTATACAAGATATAATGTTGCAGGAATGAACAAGTGAAAATTACTATTGTAAGATGTTTTGTAATGCTAAAAATGTTTCACAAAATAAAATTTAAAAAAACAACAACTTATATTTTGGTATATATGTGGTTTTATGGACTTCATCTCGGTTAATATCACTTTCTCACATTCAACAAAAATCAATAATTGATAACACTACTGCATGCATGAATCATTATTTTTCCATTAAAATGCATTAAATTTTCAAAAAATACATAAAGGAAAAAGTAATGACCCACACAAGAAATCATTAAATAATTGTAAAATTTATTGAAAACTAATTATAAATTATTGTGTAAAGGAGTGCTTTATTTTTATGGTTTGGAAGTACCCTATCAATCAAACATTCAGCACACAAATGAGTTTGTTATTGACACAAGCATTTAAATACAGAAATAGAGCTATCAGAGATTTATTCTGCTGATCCGTTACAATTGCATTATTGACCCATTACATTACTCATATTTATGGTCATAAAATGATTTTCTAGCAAATATATGAACTTGTATTGAGGTTGATAATAACTCAAAAACAATATATCCAATGATTTTTTTTTAAATCATAGTGTAACAGGAAGGGAAAAGTGTGCTTCCAACGGTGATCAAATTTATATGATCGGAGACTTCCTAGTGGGATGCTTTACCACAAAGCTATAAGGTGACTATAATACTATGTACAACTAAAATCTACCACACTACTACACCCCCTCTTTTTTTTTAAATGTGTAACTGCCCCTGAACACCACAAAACAGGTTCTAACTCCCCGTCACCACAGGGAGGGCCACGGCCACCATTTGTAACAGGAACAGGAAGAGAATATAGTGGACTTCCAACAGGATCAAACCAGCGATCCGTTCCTAGACTTCCAAGTCAGAAACTCTATTACAGAGCTAAAGAGAAATTCCCTCTGGCACGAATATAGAATGTGACCGCAATCCGATGTACAATAAAATTCTGCCACAATAGTAAGAATTTTATGGAACAGATTTGGATTTTTCCTAAATTGGATGGGGGAAAAAAACTGGCATAATATGAATGTTATGGTAAAAAGATCCCTCAGATGGTTGGTCACCTGAGATATTGTTGTCTGAATTAACAGAATAGTTTTAATGGTATCTTACTATTATTAGATGTAAATGTCACTTGATCTGTAAACTTTGTGGATATTATGACGTCAAAATTGACTAGCTTACTCACATAATTATCAGCCATAAATTATTGAGGAATCTCCATTTATACTTTAGGATATAAACAATGTCAATATTCAAACTATTTATATTTAGAGGTGGCATATTTCATCGAAGTGTAACAGGAGACAGAAAAAAATACACGGCCAGACCGAAGTATGAACCCAGGACCTTCAGAACTCAAAACAGACGCTCTACAAATTGAGCTACCTAATTGCAGACAATCGGCCCAGTTCGGTTCCGCTATTATGCAGTAGCATCATCACTCAAAGCAATAAGTATTAGAAATGTAGCAGTTGATATATGACTATGTGACACTGTTGCAGAAGTATGAATCATGTGTTAGGAAGACAAACTCATGGTTTTCCTGACATGATGATGACGTGAACATCATGGGAATCACAAAGTTAGAACTCCATGATGGATAGCTATAGGCTTATTGGACAAACCATACACCACACAATTGTATTCCAATTGACATTCACAGTAAAATCAGGAGTGAATCTTATTCTTTTCTTCATTTGTTCTAACCTGTATCTGTTTTTACCTTAAGTTTAGATTGTAACTGTAAAAACAGGAGGTATACAGTAGTTTATCAAATTATAAACAAACTTGTTTTTTATCCATTTTTTTCTCATTCCATTCCAAAGTATCTAATAACATACACATGTCAGTAAATGGATGTAAGTAATGCCATTTTCATGTTTTTAAAAAAAATACCTGTTCATTTCTCTAGCATTATTTGTCTAGGTTGAGACTACTGGACAGTTTGGAGGATGGATAGGAGTTTCAGCGCATCCTCTCGTTTCTAACCTTTTTAACGCGTGTCATAGAGTAGGACCTACATTAAGAGTTGATTGTTAAACTCGTGACCCATAAATAATATTATGTTGCAATATTGGCTAATCTTTTATGTAAAATCTACAATAATTAGCTAGACGATACTCGCGGACTCCGACATCTGAGTAACAGCGTCCCTAGCAGCGACACATACACGGCAGTTAAACAATGGTAAACTAATATCTGTACGTGTCAACGTCAACGAAAATGAAAGACATGTTTGTTAAAACAAAGTTGACATCGCCTTACCTTTATATACCCGCCACTTAGTCACTGTGGTTGTGTTTTATACAGCGAGTAGAGAAGAAAACTTGCCGATGTCGGCCATGTCTGAAGAACGATTACCAGGGGGAGTAACTCTAAATTCAACCTGGGAAAATCAAATTACTTTAGTTCAAATTTCCTGGTAAAATATCCAATCACCTGATTGACAGTCAAACAAAGCAATTTTTGTGGTATTTTGAGTAAGAAACACACATTTTTACGATACAATGAAATATTAACTGGCAGTAAATATGCTTTCCGAATGTGACAAAAACAAACTCCCTCAGCGTCCTTTTTTGTAAAATTTATGATGTTTTTGATAAGCTGAATTATCTGAAAATTAAAAGTTTAAGTTTAAACATTTCTTATTAAGGTGAAGCACTGAAAAGTATGTCTTGACAAAATAATTTTGATATCGATGACCGCAAGACTAGGGATCGATGACCTGACGGGGAAGACATGCATGAGTCTTAATTCCTTTAACTTCATGTCTTGTGAAAGTATGAAATCTCTTGTTCCTTTGCTTCTACTCAGTATCTGTTAATAAAACTGTTTTGTTTTTTTTGCTTCCATTTCCTTTATTTGTAAGCGTAGCTCCTTTTTTGCCTACTTTTCCTCGGTATTTATACATGTACAAGTATACGTAGCGTCACTTTGTTTCATTTCCGCTCCCCGACCCAGTTGCTTGTAACATCCATATGCATGTGGCCATCGATCAAACATATTCACTGTGTAGGAACGACACCGGATATAGCGACCCCTGAAGCGAGCCAAATTAAGCATAGTAATCTAGCGACAGTAAGTATTTTAGTATCTCACACGTTTTAAGTTGAATTTGCAGTTAACGGTCTGTCTGTTTATATACTATATATTATATATTTTATAGTGCATGGCTCAAAATTAAAAATAAGATAATAATAATGTGTCTTTTAGGAATAATTAGCTGCGTGGTCTCACGATTTTCGGAAGATAATGACTGTTTAGTTTACATAACATGTATTTTTAGGATAGTTTCATATTTTATACATATATAAAAAGTTAAAATATACAACGAGCCATCACATTTTAATAATAATTGTTAATGAATTTTGCCAATTTGTTTTAAAAAATCAATTTTCATTAGTGACGTTGTGTAGGGGGGATAGTTCGCGTGTGTACGGGGTATAGCTAAACCGACAAATCAAAGGTGTACGGGGTATAGCTTCACTGAATTAAAATAATTTCTATTTTTTATACTTTTTTTGCAGGAATGGTGTGGTTTAAGTGTTTTCGCTGCCCACAGAGGTTCGAGACTTTTGAGATAAGCATAAGACACCTCACAGAAAATCATCCAAATTGTGAAATAAAACTGATAAGAACAAACACTGTTAAATCAACGACAATAAATTTCAAAATAATACCAGAGGCATGCAGACAACAAGGCAGGACAATTACAATAAAGAACAACGAAGAAAAAGTACATATTTCTAGACCGAATTTGGCTACAAAAGACGGTCAGTGCACAAAATTATTCAAGGATGACGGTATCAATCAGTCCCACGAAGGTGAACATGACAATATTGAATGTCCAACAGTAGACACGGAGGAACCAGAATACAAAGAACTGGTTGACCTTGACCTTCTTCCTGGTGTAATCGAGGAAATGAAAAAGATAGGAAAGGTTGATGAGGATGTTTCTTTTCACCGATTGGTTTCCGAGGGAAGATTTCCTTTAAATAACATTGCGTTTTTACTCTTTCTATATGTAGTTTGTTGGTTTAGCCTTGAAATGTCAACAACGTGTATGCGATATTCCAATGGGTTAAAACTGGTCCGGCGCACAGGTTTGAGGTTGTTTCACGGCAGATTTCTGAGATTTATGGGTGGACCAAAGTGTACAGGAAATATAGTTGCAAACATCGAGTCACATGGTCTAACATACGCAAAAAAATCAAATGTAATGTTCATCGTTCCTGATAGAAAAGTGCTCCAAGATGAAAAACGATTTGTGAAAGGAAATAGTTCGGGTATACTTCATGAAATGAATAAAAGTAAACAATGGCAGAATGTGACCCAAATCAATTAAAAACGTATAAACTTTGTGGTGATGGAAAAAAGATTAATCCCACATCAAAGTTACGTCTGAGATAATTCTATCTTGAACAGAAACAGGTACGATATTCTATTGTTCCCGTGTTTTAACCCGGGTGTTAATGCGTCCCATAGAATATGTATACATCCCTTTGCGATCATACCGCCGTAATCGTAAAAACAAATACAGTTAATCCTAATATATACGAAATTATAACCAATAAATAACCCCAATTCTCTAATCCTTTAAACCTATCCCCCGTACAGTAAGAAAACTATCCCCCGTACATTTGTTTACAATTCATATACTATCCCCCGTACATTTGTTTCCAATTCACGTACTATCCCCCGTACATTTGTTTACAATTCACCTACTATCCCCCGTACATTTGTTTACAATTCACCTACTATCCCCCGTACATTTGTTTACAATTCACATACTATCCCCCGTACATTTGTTTACAATTCACATACTATCCCCCGTACATTTGTTTACAATTCACATACTATCCCCCGTACATTTGTTTACAATTCACATACTATCCCCCGTACATTTGTTTACAATTCACATACTATCCCCCGTACATTTGTTTACAATTCACATACTATCCCCCGTACATTTGTTTACAATTCACATACTATCCCCCGTACATTTGTTTACAATTCACATACTATCCCCCGTACATTTGTTTACAATTCACATACTATCCCCCGTACATTTGTTTACAATTCACCTACTATCCCCCGTACATTTGTTTACAATTCACATACTATCCCCCGTACATTTGTTTACAATTCACATACTATCCCCCGTACATTTGTTTACAATTCACATACTATCCCCCGTACATTTGTTTACAATTCACATACTATCCCCCGTACATTTGTTTACAATTCACATACTATCCCCCGTACATTTGTTTACAATTCACATACTATCCCCCGTACATTTGTTTACAATTCACATACTATCCCCCGTACATTTGTTTACAATTCACATACTATCCCCCGTACATTTGTTTACAATTCACATACTATCCCCCGTACATTTGTTTACAATTCACATACTATCCCCCGTACATTTGTTTACAATTCACATACTATCCCCCGTACATTGATGAAAAATGTTTTGTTGATTTTCTTACATTTAGTCTTACACTCCAGCCTAAATTCTGATGATTTTAGCTTGTTGTCAATTATAAATGATATACCGAGTGATTATGTTCCAAAAATACCATTTAAATGTATTAAACCATGGACAACTCTTCCGACACTCACATTTTGTATGCGACCCAGCCAACTACTTCATCTTTTGTAAAGCGTTTAAATGGAGTAGTTCGAAGTGTCTGTGAATTCAACAAACGCATGATTATACATGATAGATGTATGAAACCTCATGCTTCAAAAACCACGAGAACAATTAAAAATATCGAGATTACTGACATGGAGTTCGACAAGTTATCGCTTCGAGGGGTCGCTATATCCGGTGTCGTTCCTTCACAGATATTGAAAGAAGAAATTTCAAAAAACAGTTTCCACAAAGGTCAAACTGTTACTCAACATCCAGAAAGAATTCTTTCACTATGAGAGCAGCAATCTACCATAATCTGTGATATCTGCTCCAAAAACAAAATGATTTAAAAATAGATCTAGACTTGACAAGTTTTGGGAAAACCAAGACCTGGTTTATAATTGCAGAGCCGAACTAGTACTGTTAATATGATATTAACTGAACTTTACGGTTTATATAATTTATATTACATTGTGTACATTTTGTTTATACCATTAGTATTATCATGTACTACACGCATTGTATGATATTGAGTCCGGCGAAGAAGATTCTTCAAATTATGTCCCGGGATAAACTTAACTTCACTTAATCTCCCTGCCCTCATGGTCCCGTATCTCTTGTACCCTACTTGCCTCTTTCGTTGTTAGAAATAACTGACTATCGTCTTTTAGAATTTTTCGATATCTTGCTTTTCGTGGAACTGAAATCTGCTGATTTTGTGGATGTGTCAATGGTGTTATTGGTCAAATTCGCTGTTTCCTGCTGTTTGATTGGTTCTTATATCTCTATATGGTGTAATATTCATCTATTTAATATATTCAAATTCGTTTGAACAAAAAAATGGTACAGGTTTGGCGAAAGAATTGGTTCTTATATCTCTATATGGTGTAATATTCATCTATTTAATATATTCAAATTCGTTTGAACAAAAAAATGGTACAGGTTCGGCGAAAGAATTGGCCTGCTATATATCTCAATACATCTTGTATAGGCCCCAGAATCGAGGATGGTTTCGTTTTGGTCTTCTTTTCATGGGAACTAAGCCAAGACTGGCCAAACACATACGGGTTACCTCTCTTCCACTGCTATTTATAGCCGCAACTCCGAGAATCTAAGCTTATGTAGTATGAGACAATTATTTGATTCTGTTGTCGTCTATAATCATAACACTGAATTTCGTTCCTTAAGCACACATTTTCTGTCGACGCATATTGTATGAATTTCTAGGGGATATATTGAACAAGTAATTATAACATTTCCACCGACAGGCGGCAACACAACTCGTGATGACAGGAGCATGCGATCACTTAGTTACTGCTTCAGTTGGGTATAACTGATAAACTGTTGTTTGTTTTGTAAATATAAAATATCTGGTTAGGTCATCATGCAATATCATCATCACTTATATGTTATTGGTTGTGAAAAAAAGAACTTTTCATAATCATGAAATAAGGTTTCACTGTCAAATCAGTTGACAAAGAAAATAAAAATAGAATAATTTTGAAAATGGGGCGACAGGGTTATTTTGTATAGGTGATTTTCTGATATGGTAGCTACGGTACATTTAACTGTTCTTATTCATTTGTTTATGTGCTTTTTGTTATCCAAATTTTAAAATAGGTTTCTGTTGCCCATTTCAAAAAAATCTAAATCAAACCCTCTTGTTTTCATTTTGGCATGTTTTCGATGGAACTAAAACCAAGATTCAGTTAACTGAATTGATTAAATAAAGGAAACAGCATTATGATGACCTTACTCACGACTTTATTCGGCTAAAATATCACGTGTATTGGTAATGGCTCACTGCATCATCGATATCAAGAAGTTACGCTCACTTTCGCTTTCTACACCCCTGGAATGTGTCAAAGCAAAATTGAAGGCTCAGTGTGCAGCCCCTTGTGGATGAGAAGATAAGAATTGTTTAGTCCTTTGATTTGCATCAAAAGAATCTCGCGGTCGTGTAACGGTAAAAAATGACATGCTTTGAAGTCGGGCGTCGCTCCTTTGAAATCTTCAAAGGACACGTATAAGCCTAGACAACAATCAAATAGATAGCCACATGCCTTCAATTTTGCTATTACATATTCAAGGGGTGCAGAGAGCGAAAGTGAGCGTAATCCCTGGATATCGAGGATGGGCTCACTAACGCTATAACGTGCGCAACGTTACGCGACAATTTGAGAATTTATCTGGATTCTTTCATTTTGTTTGAAGTCCTATTAATAGCCAAGGTCATATAATGACGTGCTTTTGTTTGTAAAATGTGTATGTGCTTGTGTGTGTGTATACAGGAGGCAGGTTATGTGGGAGTAAATGCCTCCTTGTGATAGCGCGGATCTGATGTCAACTTTAGAGAGCTATCTCACTGAAATACTATTCCGAAGGCATTCCGCCCGGTCACATGATACTGACAACGGCTGAACCAGTTGCTGCCATTACCCTTAATGCTGAACGTTACGCAGGAAATATCAGCTGCCATTTTTAAGGCTTCTTGTATGTCCCGGTCTGGGGACAGAACCCACTGTGTTTCTCGCTTGAGGGAACGTTTAACACAAAGATAAAAAGTAAGGCATTGTCAAGCAGCGCGTTATGAAACAAACAAAAAGTTGTTACGGAGGATAGAGAAAATATGACGTTACCAATTGTTGGTGCGCAAACGTAGATTTAACATACGACGTAAAAACAAGAGAGACAGAGTATTCATGTTGTACTTTTTATCATTTTTATTTATTTCAGAAAAAGTAGTATGAAAAGTGTTAGTAGTTTAGAAAATACATATTAAGAATACATAATCAGTGTTTCATAGCACAATGGTTACCATAGAAATAACAAAAGGATATGAAGATGATGACGTCATCAGTACATCTTCACCTCGTATTTTTACACACTTACAATGTATTCTTTTTATTCTGCAACCCACAAATTTGATTAAAGACACGAATTCATCAAGAATGTGATTTTCATGTCAATTATGACATCGATATTGTCTCTTCTCTGATCTCAGCTTCTCCAAACTTAATGAGATTTAGCCAGTGGTTAGTAGTTCAAATTTAACATATGAATACAAGCAAATCAAGAACATTTTGTAAAATGAATCTGCTACATGTATAGATGTGTTGAAACACGATGAACGGATCTCAATATTATACTTTCAACTTGATAAATATGTTTAATTTTATCAACCGGTAATTACCCTTTCCGATATTGTGTGCAATTGCCAATTTTAAAGCAATCTAGCTCCATTTTCATTAAATTGGCGTATTACAAATCAATACATTTTTTATCATCTCCTTTTTGTTCGGTCAAATGTATGGGCTGCAGGATAAAATAATGTGAGTGAAAACATTACTCAACATTAAACAGTTAATATGAAGCATCAGTAATATTTAAATAATAAGTTAACACGATTCCAACAAGCACCTTTCCAAGTTCACCAACCAATCATGGTTCAGAGTTTCTTTTTATGCATTAGAATATACATGTATACATTTGACAATAAGAAAATGAACCTGATGTTACAATATGTTCAATCTAATTAAAACCAGATCTCTCATTACACAAAGTTATGGAGTGTAATGAGACATCTGATTTTAATTAGATTGCAATATGTTACAATATGAAGTATTAGCAAATTAAATTTGGCTTGTTAAGATAATGTCAAAGCGTAGCATTTACAGTAATGATAGTTTAATTCTATAATAGCGGAAAGTTTCGCGCGTGGAGATGCTCGCGTTGTGACCATTTAAACTGATCACAATGTGAAATGTTTTGCGTTAGCAGTACTTCTGAATTCGATATCTATAATCTAAATAATTCATACATTAATATTAGCGTGTGGATATTTTCGGGTTTGCTTACAGAACGCAAAAACGCGAAATTTTGTATACCGCGAAAATTTCAAATTTTATAGTAATTAATATGAATAGTTCCGAAACAAACAAAATATTGTGCATTGTCGACATGTTGCAATACAAAATACATCATGAAGTGGGAGTTGAACCATCTCTAGTCAATATCATGTCATATGTTTCAAAGAATTCAAGCGTACCAACGAAACATGTAAAATCTTAAAGATTCGCAGATACCTGCAGTGGTGTTCAGCTACAAATTTAATCGCATACATATAAAACAACGGATTTCCAAATGTGTCGCCAATATCCGCATAACAATTATCGGGAAACATTGTAAGAATCGGAAACAAAACTCTGATTCAAATGAATGTAAACACAATCTTTGAATTCGGTATTGACACACATTTGAGCGGAACAATGTTTGAGATTTTAAGAAGTAAAATGCTGGGCAAGATTGCAAACAAGCTGCTCGCTGAATTATATGGGAAGCGTTTGCTTAATGAAAGGGTTGAACTACTTATTGCAACGGTCATGAAACGGGTTACTTACAAAATCAATATTAGGAAACAGCAGTTTCGATATTAATCTTGAAAATAACGTATTTCATATTTTGTTTCGACTTTCACTTTCTCGTGGTTTACGAAGTTCCAACAATATGTAAAATAGCATGTAATGTATAGAGTAACAACACACCAAACACACGGAAGTCTTCCACCGTTAAGACCTTTCGTATCTGTAATACAGCGCAATTCTAGCAAAACACCACGCATAACGGAAGAACGTTTCCAGTCACGACTGTGACAATTCTAAACATCAATTTTCGGGCCCTTGTTTGCGGAGGAACATGGACTTATTCGGTTCCACTGTGTAATGAAACTGATGAGCAAGTGTACATGATTCACATCTAGAGTAAGACGGAATAAATTACATTGTAACTACAATGAAACAGCACAATAAAAACACTGTGAACACTTTGAAAATAGTATTGCAATGTTACACACATCTCATCCTGGATACTCCAGGGTTACGCTCAGTTACACTCTCTGCACCCCATGCATATGTCATAGCAACATTGGAAGCACCGAGATAGTTATTTGATTGGTCAAAATAAAAATCCTGACCAATCGCCAGGCTGATACCTGTCCTTTGAAGATTACAGATGAGCGACACCCGTCTTCAAAGCCAATCAATTTCTACCGTTGCACGACCGCAATATTCCTTTAATGTTCATCAAAGGACCGAACTAGTCTTCTTGTCTGAACAACAAGATGGCACACACTGAGCCTTCAATTTTGCTATAAAATACTCAGGGACACAGAGAGTGTAAGTGAGCGTAACCCCTGGAGTATCGATGATGCACAAATCTTAGTATCCTACAAAATATAGAATGGTACAGTAACACACGGGAAAAGTCCCGTAACTAATGTGAACCTATTTATATCTGTTTTATGGGAAATAAATACTAGTATATTATTCATTTATTGCACAATGTTCATGAAAAACGCAATATGAAAAGATTAATGTCATGAAAAAAACCCCGTACAATATGTTGCTTTCTGTCATAGACTCTAATACAACTATTACCTCTTGAGTGATGATGATGAATAGGAACCACGTAGCATCTTTGATTTTTACCACTGTACGAGTTTCTACTTTCTAATAGAATGCACGAATGTATTCGATGTTGTGACGTAGTTATAGCGATGAAAAAATGTCTTTTGATTATGACGTCACAGCACAGTGACGTATATTGCCTTCGGATATTGTGCAATTTTTTAACAGTATATAAAAAAGGCGAAGAAGCAAGAACAAGATGAGATGTTAAGAGTTTCCATGTACAGGAGGGCCTAATTCGAAACTCGGTCATATAACAGGCAGAACACTTGTACATCCTCCAACACACACGCATGCATACTCTCACACATTCTAGGGGTTCCGATAGAAAATGTTCGCAAGATTTGTGTATCAGGAATCGGACATTTTGTCAACATGCCACCTCGCGTTATGTCTTGTGTCACCTCCCAACATTGTCATAAAAACGACTCAAATATAGCTCGCTTTATCGAATTTGTATGGTAGTGCAAATTGCAAGCATTAGATGTATGGGACCAAAATGCTACCGACTTTATATTACTTACGAATATCTATAACGAATTCGCAATTCTAACGAAATCATAGTCATCGCAAAATTTAAACGCAATTTATCAAAATCACTGAACATTTAAACGCATATTTCAAGGGCCTAAGTGTTTATTACACAAGGATTGAGTTAAACGTATTTTTGAATAACAAAATTTTGTTCATACCTCCCGCGCAACATCCTATAACTGTTCAGATTATATCAATAATATTGATGACATCAAAATGAAAATATAATAAAAGCATTAATATCACAATATGGCTATTTCATAAGCTCCAGTATCACATATTATTTACAAACTGCATATTAATTGATAAGGTCACCCAACAACACTCGATGAGAATTATTACAAACATTTTAGCATGTAATAGAAGAGTATGATTTAATCAGTTTGACTAAGTGTCACATTGCTCTTTTCTTGGACATCGGACCTTGTCGAATGATTGATATTGTTAATTATTTTTCATATTATTTTCAGCATAACAATATGTTTGGCATTCATTATTTATGAAATCATAATAATATGATGAGTTCTGTAAGAGACTAAGAATACAAGTAAGTGATACTACCGAGAAAGTTATTATGTCGGAAAAGAAAAAATGATAACATGTCTAGTATAAAAAGACTCCCATTGCACTTATATTTACATTTTCTCCTCTTTTATGAGATCCATATAATTTCCTCTTCTTTTGTAGATGTATATAACATTTTAAAGCTGTACATAATGCATATACAAATTAACATGACACTTATATCACGAATAGATTTAAGTATATAAGTAATAAAATAGAAACAACACATGTAATTATTTGCATATTTTCTCGGCAATAATCGGCAATCATCGGATTAATTTCCGATGCTTGCCGGAGTTTACCGAAACGGTGGGATGATTTACGTTTCTGCAAAACCACCCGGATCTATTTCCTCGTGGGTACGGCGACCCATTATAACGAACAGGAGTATAGAAGAACTGGCGCAACAGATCTGTAACACAAAACAAACATTGATAATGAAATGTATTTATATGCTATAATGAATGCAAATTATATATAGGATCTTACATGAGTTTCCGTTTCATTATTTTCATATGAGATTTATGAAATTCGTGACGAGTTTCAAACATTTCATATGTAATGAAAACGAGTGTAAGATAATTTTTATCACATAATTAAGATTTGTGGCATTTTTTCGTGTAAAACGACAGTTTTCATGCAACCCTGAAATGTAAAAAGCCGCCATTTTGACTCGAGTGCATAAGTCTATGACGTCATGTAATTGTCCTAGGCATGACGTTACAATTGTAACAATTGAAACCTCCAACTAATCACAGGGCTTATCGATAGGTCATATTGCATGGGTTAATACGGAAAAAATATGACATCGGTATATTCACTGGATAACACATTAATACATTATGTGATACATTTATGTTTTCGATGCACTTATTAGGTTTTCCTAAATGAAATAAAAGATTAGTTTTGCGAAAACAAAATTAATGCTATTGAGAAGTTATTTCAATATGACTGATCAGTGTTGCATATTTTTATATGAAATAACAACGCCATGCGACATTGTTTAAATAACTCTTTTTCGTGATGAAACAATGACCATACATATTTTTACAAGCGGTGACCAGTTGAAAATTAAAAAGATTAAGACCAAACTTTTACACCGACATCGCAATAGTATGCTGCCATGACGTGTATAAATACTGTCGAGTTGTAGTCTGTCAGATAATGGTGTACGTTTTTCTATAGACGGCTTTTACATGTTATACAAGAGTTATTGCCCTTTGTAACAATGTTTGATGATCCCTTTCTATCACTGTTAGATGAAATATATCTAAATGTCAACGAGTAAAAGCTTAATAAACATTTTCAAATGTAATTTTCAACAAATATATATAGAACAGAGTTTCAGATCAAAGTTTTACTTTCTACACAAACAATGCACGTGTTGAACGTGTCTCAGTCATAGCTGGACAAAGCGACCAGGCGGTCTTGAAACGTTGCGACGCCTTTATTACGTACATTGTTTGTGTAGAAAGTAAAACTTTGAATTCACATATTGCCAAACTGATAAATCTTATTGAAGATATCAGAAGTACCTACGAACAGAACCTTTTTTTATAAATGACCAACATCTGAACTATTTTATATTTTTGATAAATAAGCTTCTAATGCTAAAAAAACACCACATCCTTTTGGCCATATACAAGACTCAAGTAGATGTATTGAAATGATATCAATGTTATTACATGTATATGGGTTTTTTTAGAATATTTTATGGCTGTAGTTAGACTTCAATTCAATTCGTTATGTCACTTCAACACGGATGTAAAGCTATAATTCTGACATAAACTATTACCATGATTAGTGTGTAGATACCTCCAAGAACAAAAAGTGTAGCTGAGTATTCTTTTAACTTGGTACTGAGCTGTTTAGCGCAACCCTGCAACATAAATAAACAACAATGTATACATATTTTCGTTATACATTATAATACAAACAAATAATTCATACGATCAAAATAATCTACCAATCAATTTAATCTGATAATTTCGCCGGAGCTGCCATAACATCTACTTATGTGGATTATTGTTTTTGCATATATACTGTAGCTCCCACTTAAATACCTATTTATTCCCCAACTGAATTTGTGTCAGCCGGGGAAAAACCACTGCCTTTTACTCCAATGCTACGACAAAGATGATTGAACCCAATTTGTCTACGTGACAATCACCCGGCCAGATCCGCTCGCGAATTAGACATATTCTTTTGTTTAAAAAAATGTTTTTGTACGAAAATGCTTTTAATTACATTTTATCTAAATAAAAAATATAATTGAAAGGTTATCGCGATTTTTTAGCCACAGTAACCACAGTAACCATAAGGAATAGACCGTCAATCGATTAAATGCATATTAATAATGAATACGCATAGGATTACTCAGATGAGTAAGGGATACTATTATAACGATTGTCAGATTAGTAAGAGGAATTATTACGAAGGTTGTCAGATAAGTAAGGGATAATATTACGAAGATTTTCAGATCAGTAAGGAATGCTATTACGTAGATACCAACCGTAAGAAAATTTGAATTTCTCTCCTTTGGATATGCCGCACAGTTCCAATTATTGTCGCCCTTGGGTGGTTCGGTATCAGAAAATATTTTGAGACCTTTGCAACAAAATAATGGAGTGGTCGTTTGTAGGGTGATGTTGTGATGTTGGCCGACCAGTGCCGTCCTATTCCAGTCATCAAGGTCCATGTAACTAGTGGCACCGCAACACCCGAGCTAAAGTTACCGAAAGTAGTATTGAACATCACAAACATAAGAAGAAGTATTGAAAATCCCAAGGGCAGATACAAGATGTAGTATTGAACATCACCAGGGCAGATACAAGAAGTAGTATTGAACATCACCAGGGCAGATACAAGAAGTAGTATGGAACATCACAAGGACAAACACAAGTAGTAGTGTGGAACATCACTAGGACAAACACAAGTAGTATTATGGAACATCACAAGGACAAACATAAGTAGTAGTATGGAACATTACAAGGACAAACACAAGTAGTAGTATAGAACATCACAAGGAAAAACACAAGTAGTAGTATAGAACATCACAAGGAAAAACACAAGTAGTAGTATAGAACATCACAAGGAAAAACACAAGTAGTAGTATAGAACATCACAAGGAAAAACACAAGTAGTAGTATAGAACATCACAAGGGCAGATACAAGTAGTAGTATGGAACATCACAAGGAAACACACAAGTAGTAGTATTGAACATCACAAGGCCAAACACAAGTAGTAGTATGGAACATCACAAGGAAACACACAAGTAGTAGTATAGAACATCACAAGGGCAGATACAAGTAGTAGTATGGAACATCACAAGGACAGATACAAGTAGTAGTATGGAACATCACAAGGAAACACACAAGTAGTAGTATAGAACATCACAAGGAAAAACACAAGTAGTAGTATAGAACATCACAAGGGCAGATACAAGTAGTAGTATGGAACATCACAAGGAAACACACAAGTAGTAGTATTGAACATCACAAGGACAGACACAAGTAGTAGTATGGAACATCACAAGGGCAGATACAAGTAGTAGTATGGAACATCACAAGGACACACACAAGTAGTCGTATTGAACATCACAAGGACAAACACAAGGAGTAGTATGGAACATCACAAGGACAGATACAAGTAGTAGTATGGAACATCACAAGGAAACACACAAGTAGTAGTATAGAACATCACAGGGACAAGCACAAGTAGTAGTATTGAACATCACAAGGCCAAACACAAGTAGTAGTATGGAACATCACTAGGACAAACACAAGTAGTAGTATGGAACATCACTAGGACAAACACAAGTAGTAGTATGGAACATCACAAAGACACACACAAGTAGTAGTATAGAACATCACAGGGACAAACACAAGTAGTAGTATTGAACATCACAAGGCCAAACACAAGTAGTAGTATGGAACATCACAAGGAAACACACAAGTAGTAGTATTGAACATCACAAGGACACACACAAGTAGTAGTATAGAACATCACAGGGACAAACACAAGTAGTAGTATTGAACATCACAAGGACACACACCAGTAGTAGTATTGAACATCACAAGGACAAACACCAGTAGTAGTATGGAACATCACAAGGGCAGATACAAGTAGTAGTATGGAACATCACAAGGACAAACACAAGAAGTAGTATGGAACATCACAAGGACAAACACAAGAAATAGTATGGAACATCACAAGGACAAACACAAGAAATAGTATGGAACATCACAAGGACAAACACAAGAAGTATGGAACATCATAAGGACACACACAAGTAGTATTATGGAACATCACAAGGACAAACACAAGTAGTATGGAACATCAAAAGGACAAACACAAGTAGTAGTATAGAACATCACAAGGACAAACACAAGTAGTAGTAATGAACATCACAAGGACAAACACAAGTAGTAGTACGGAACATCACAAGGGCAGATACAAGTAGTAGTATGGAACATCACAAGGACAAACACAAGAAGTAGTATGGAACATCACAAGGGCAGATACAAGTAGTAGTATGGAACATCACAAGGACAAACACAAGTAGCAGTATGGAACATCACAAGCACAAACACAAGAAGTATGGAACATCATAAGGACACACACAAGTAGTAGTATGGAACATCACAAGGACACACACAAGTAGTATAGAACATCACAGGGACAAACACAAGTAGAAGTATTGAACATCACAAGGACACACACAAGTAGTAGTATAGAGCATCACAAGGACAAACACAAGTAGTAGTATAGAGCATCACAAGGACAAACACAAGTAGTAGTATTGAACATCACAAGGAGAAACAGAAGTAGTAGTATTGAACATCACAAGGACAAACATAAGTAGTAGTATGGAACATCACAAGGGCAGATACAAGTAGTAGTATGGAACATCACAAGGACAAACACAAGTAGTAGTATGGAACATCACAAGGACAAACACAAGTAGCAGTATGGAACATCACAAGGACAAACACAAGAAGTATGGAACATCATAAGGACACACACAAGTAGTAGTATGGAACATCACAAGGACAAACACAAGTAGTATATCAGGAGATAACGAGGAAATGCATCACGAACTCTATAAATATCCAGCGGCGATCTAAGACATAATTGTATGATCACATAATGGTTTATTCTAATCTGAATATACTAACATAATTTTACAAGCATATACTTTTAAATTTTATTCAGAGACCGCCTAGGAGGTATAAAAAGTGGGATCATATTGATATTGCTTTCTCAAAGCAGGTTCTATTTAGAATTGACTGCAAAAAGAAGTTTTGAGGATACAATCACAGCAATGGTTGTCGCTTAATAGTGATGGTCTCTTGATCAGGTTTGATAGTAAACAAAACTTTAAAAATGGTATAAATATGCAAATCCTAGCTTTTTACACAGAGGTTATGCGATTAAAATTATGTAGCATTTGTGTTACTTGATTGATATTTATATTGAACAGTTTAACGGAACAAAGTTCAGTTTGGGTTGTTGATCTCCAGAGCACAGACAGAATAAGACTCCTGTGTAAATCGAGTATTCACTATTTCTGACTTTTACTTGTTGTCGTCCGTAAACAGTATATATATTAACTCATTCGTTCCCTAATATTTCATAACGAGCTATATCAACCTTTGAATTGGAAGAGTTCAAATGTGTCTTCAGGGGTGGATGAGTTAAGAGAACCAATTTGCAGTTTTCAAAACCAGTAAATGACTGTAGCTGGCTTAGACGTTGCCTGATCCCATCTATTGCTGGAACATAATATTTCGCGGGAGTAATGATATTGGTTATACTACGAACTAATATTTTCAATCTTTAACCACTTACCGAGAAAAATAAATAATTCCAGGCCAGGCTGGCCGTATCGCTCGCTTGACTACCTCTGTAGGATCGTTGTATGTTCGCTTTCATAGAGTTCTCCAAATAGGCAAGTTCCTGAAATATCAAACACAGATATTACTATTATTTTGAAAATGTTTATAACATGGACACTTTTCCGGTAAACGAAGATTAGGAAAGTGAGAATCAAGATTGGTGGTGGCCAGAATGAAAATTAAGAATGAAGAAAATAGCAATATAAAAGGAAAGCCAACATAAAGCCAACACAAACATTTATTAACACAAGAGGTGTAACCAAATCTGCTGTTTCACAGGTGATTCCTACCCTAGGCATCCGTTAAAAAAATAAAAAATAAATTCCTTGCAAATAAGCCAAGAGCACATTATAATCATGTAATCATACTTGAATTGATACCTTATCATAGTGATATATTCTTTTGCAAACACAAAAAGCATTTCATCTTGTATCTGGTCAATGGTAAGCTTGCAACGAATGTCTTACTGAAAGGTAAAAACTAAATAAATAAAAACAGCGATTCTTTTCATGGAAAGACGTGAAAGTAACTTAATATTCAGTCAACATTTCTAACAGAATATGAAGGTAATGACGCCAACTTGGAGTAACAAAGTTCTACGCTGATGTAGGACTTTATAATTTAATCCACCATAGATCACTGATGTAGGACTTTATAATTTAATCCACCAAAGATCACTGATGTAGGACTTTATAATTTAATTCACCATAGATCACTGATGTAGGACTTTATAATTCAATCCACCATAGATCACTGATGTAGGACTTTATAATTCAATCCACCATAGATCACTGATGTAGGACTTTATAATTTAATCCACCATAGATCACTGATGTAGGACTTTATAATTTAATCCACCAAGATCACTGATGTAGGACTTTATAATTTACTCCACCATAGATCACTGATGTAGGACTTTATAATTTAATCCACCATAAATCACTGATGTAGGACTTTATAATTAATTCAACCAAAGATCACTGATGTAGGACTTAATAATTCAATCCACCATAAATCACTGATGTAGGACTTTATAATTTAATCCACCATAGATCACTGATGTAGGACTTTATAATTTAATCCACCAAGATCACTGATGTAGGACTTTATAATTTACTCCACCATAGATCACTGATGTAGGACTTTATAATTTAATCCACCATAAATCACTGATGTAGGACTTTATAATTAATTCAACCAAAGATCACTGATGTAGGACTTAATAATTCAATCCACCATAAATCACTGATGTAGGACTTTATAATTCAATTCACCATAGATCACTGATGTTGGACTTTATAATTAATTCAACCAAAGATCACTGATGTAGGCCTTTATAATTCAATCCACCATAGATCACTGGTGTAGGACTTTATAACTCAATCCACCATAGATCATTGATGTAGGACTTTATAATTTACTCCACCATATATCACTGATGTAGGACTTTATGACTCAATCCACCATAGATCACTGTTGTAGGACTTTATAATTTACTCCACCATAGATCACTGATCTAGGACTTTATAATTTAATTCACCATAGATCACTGATGTAGGCCTTTATAATTCAATCCACCATAGATCCCTGATGTAGGACTTTATAACTCAATCCACCATAGATCACTGATGTAGGCCTTTATAATTCAATCCACCATAGATCATTGATGTAGGACTTTATACTTTAATCCACCATAGATCACTGGGGTAGGACTTTATAACTCAATCCACCATAGATCACTGATCTAGGACTTTATAATTTAATTCACCATAGATCACTGATGTAGGCCTTTATAATTCAATCCACCATAGATCACTGATCTAGGACTTTATAATTTAATCCACCATAGATCACTGATGTAGGACTTTATAATTTAATCCACCATAGATCACTTCAGTTCATAACTGTTCGATTGATGCTTAATACCGATTCCATTTGGACCATATAAATAACCACGTAAAAGCTGTTTGAATATTATCGTTACTTTTGTGATCTAACAAACCTTAATAAAAGCAGGAGATCGAATTTAAACTACAATGCAAAATCTTTGGGGTAGATTTTGAAAATCGTTACATGGTTGCACGGTCAGAAAAATGTTTCGCTATACATATCGTATCTCCAGGACGCTCCAATAATTTGGATCTGACACAAATTTTCGTAGCGGGTTTCGACGATGAAGCAAAAGACGCTTACCATTCCGCAACACATGGTCCTATCGCTTAAAGCTTTGATATATATCTCTCCTTTGTTCAAAGCTCATAGTGTTATCAATTTTGAGTTTGAACTATTGTTTCGTTTTCATTTCGATGTTCCCGATTTGTTCCTAAATAATTACATTTCGCTTGGATAAATGTTTATTTTAAATCAATCATATTGAGCGAGAGACATGTTTCTACGTGTCCTGGAAATCATTTAAAGAGGCTACCTGCACTGCCTCATGAAACGAATTGATCTTTTGTATCCCACTGCATGTGCTTATGAGGCAACTATCAAGGGCCATTGCAAAAGTGAGGGTTTGGTTTTGTTTAGTGTTGTTTAACGTCATATCAACAGCTATGGTCGTTTAAGGACGGCCTCCCCTGTGTGCAAGATGCATGCGTGTGGTGTATGCGTTTGTGTTTTGAGAGGCTGCGATATATTTGTTTTTGTCTCCTTGTGATCGCGTGGAACTGATGCCGACTTTATAGTGCTACCTCACTGAAACATACTGCCGAAGACATCCAGCAGGACACCCCACCCGGTCACATTATACTGTCAACGGGCGAACCAGTCGTCCCACTCCTCAATGCAAAAGTGAGGGGTTTCTGCTTACAGGACACTGAAGGATCAAACATTGATCTGCTACACCAGTTGCAATATTCAGATATTTTGTCTTTCGTTTTCCCTCCTATTTACTCCAATGACACATGTCTTCATATGCTCTTTTAGGTTACAAAGTCGTTTAATCCCGATCTCAGCAAAATCACATGAGGAGTCAAATCTTTGCTTTAAGCAAATCGTGAAAATAATTATTGGTATTGGTTAAATAATTTGCAGTTATCAGAATAAATCGCTTAAAACAATATACTAGTATATGAATCCTTCAAGAGGTCAGTCACTTGTTGCTGCTGAATCAATGAAAAATTAGACCAATAGGATCAGAGATTTGTAAGGTTGACCTGATTCGATGTTATGTCACCCCGGGGACCAACATATCCTGGGAAAATCGTTAACGTGATGTTGGCGAAACAACATTAATTGTTCCGAGATAAATGTCTGGCCTGCATTATTCATGTATCACCCACAGGGATAAAATTATATCCGAAAACCAATAACTTCAAGTCGCCGACATCATAACTTAAAAATAAAACTTGTTTGAATGACAGCCGGATTAATGGTCAATCAATATTTTTACTATCTACAGGACCAAGTAGCGTACAGGGGGTCTCGCATAATCTGCATAATTAGAAAAATCGCATTAATTGAATGCAGAATTTTAAACCCGAATTTAGAACTTCACATTGTGATTCCAAACGAAACTTCCGCTACAGTATCCTGCTAATATTTGTTTGGAGATATTGGAATTTAACGAATAGAACAGTCAATCATTCAAAATAACGGAAAAATGGCAATTTGTTTCCGCACATATCAAACTAGGGAAAAATGACAATGAAAACCTTTGTACAGGATAATTTCCAATATATAACACATTTTTTAACTGTTCGTTTCCTATATTCATATCTACTAGTAAAAAAAGACGTCGCTTGGAGTTTTTTCTCACCTACATCACACCTTGCCGATCAATGGGTACATATAACAACGCCCATAATAAAATACATCGTTGGACGTGCCGCCTCACAACATCACAACTATGACCACTGATCAATGGCATTGGGTCAATAATGTGTCATAGAAATTAAATCAAGGTCAATGATGGGTTTTACGCTGATTTAACTCTAGATTGAAGAGATACTTAGGCGGTAAATCTACAACATAGTCCATAATTTCTTCTAACGACTTGTTTCTGTTATTGTTCTTGAGTAATATAAATACAATCACACCCACACTTTACGTTATATTCTCTAGGTTACTGCCGGAGGAAGCTCTCACACAGGTCGATATTAACATGCATTAGGCAAATTAAGGTTGTGTTTACGATTGCCGAGATGACAAACAGGGACATCAACCAGAACGAGAGTTATACCAGAAATGTGTATATCTTGTCCGAGATGTGCAAAGGTTTGTTAGCTTAAGGATTTAGGGGCGGAACCTGTAAAATATATTATTCAAATGTTGGCATGAAAGTTTATCCATGCACATATAGACAACCTTACATTTTTTTTAACATCCCTAGTTCAACGATAAGAGTAACAAGGCCAAGACTTGTATTTCTGCAAAAAGAAAACAAAAAAAAAACTCAAGGATTTTAATGCATGCTACCTTGATAACGTGCTCTTGTTTACCTGTAAAATACGTGTTCCTTTATCACTTTTGTTTGCCAATAGTAATAATTTCAAATTTCCTCTCCGTCATGTTCCTTTATCTTTTTATTACATGCAGCAGAGGCAATTTGTTACAGAGACCGAGATTCGAAACGACAAAAACATGTGACCTCTTCGTATCATTTACTGTTTATCGGACTTTAGATATAAAAGACGTGATAGGAGATATAACATGTGAATAATGTCTAAATTTAAATATCACTCGAAAATGGACGAGTTGCCGAGCAATTTGAATGATAAACAAAGAGACAGACATAGGGCGCGCACATGCCAGTGTCCCTGATATTGGTCAATGAACGTTAGATTACAACGGTTTGATAAACACAATTTTGTGTGATGAATTACAAACATTGGAACCATTCAATCAATTAGTGACCCCGGTAGCGTTGCGAATTTGGTATATTTCATAATATCACGTCTTTCAGTAAAATGTTACTGAATTGTTTGTTCTGAATTTGGAAGATATGATTTATTTACGTTTGTTTAAAAAGAAAAGATATAATAGTTTGATATTGTAATTCGTTAAGATTTAATCCCGATAAATAAACATTTTCGTACTTAACATTATAGCTTACAGTGA